CCTGTAGGCCCTTGGGGGAAGTGTAACTAAATATGATTTTATAGCAGTCATGCTTTAGAATATCCTTCCTGCAGAGTTAAGGGTCTTGAGACATGAGGCTATGTCGGTTTTAATCCCAATTTTTTCATCCTACAGCATCTGTTGTTCACTCTCTATTTTATATCATTTAAGCTTGAGTGACTTTCTGAAAGAGATGAAAAAATTGTACATTAACATAGGCCCATACCATAATGAATTCTATGTTTATAGTACTAGGTTACTAAGAATTTTAGCAAAAAAGTTTGTATACCAATTTCTTTGGCTGATTAAGAGTAGCTACACATTCTAGTGGGTACTTTATCTTAGTTGCCTCTCTCTTTAATGATGCATAGCATCATTGACCTGGAATGATTGTATACCACTTCTTAGAAGACCAATGTTAAAATGAGGACTTATTAATTCTTCAACTGCGGCATGTACTGCTGACAGTTGTAATAAGCTATGGGTGCCTTTCTGATGGTAAGTCCTGGTTGCTCTATTAGCACAATTTGTGAACTGCAGAGAGAATTCAATCACTTTGACCTCCTGAAATGTTCACTGTGGTATATATGTGTCTTCCATTCAGTTATGACTAGGGACGGGAAACTGTTATCCTATATCATGGATATTTTATTTATAACTTGACTGATTAACTATGGTCCTGAGCAAATGAGGGTAGCAAATAAGATGGCTAAACTCATCCAAAAAGAACCCTTACTGAGTTCATGCTTTATATGCATGTGTGTGCTTATATGAAAAAGTAAGCTCATGTTGACTTTCTGCCTAAATACAGATAGATTTCTTGGAATTATTGCCAGGCCCTGGTAAAAAAATAGTAATTTCAACAAAATATAATGTTGAATATAATCAATATTTGTTTGAGAAGCAACCCTTCTTTTGGGTAAAAGTTAGCGATCCGTGTTTTGTTTTGTTTTTTAAGAGGAGGTGTGTAATATATTTTAAGATATTTCCTTATTTAAAAAGTCGGCATTTTGTTTGCATATCACTGAACAGGAGCAGCCACTTTGTTTCAAAAAATGTTTATGAACATGTTCAAGACTGAAAATTAGATATAGGTCAAAAGTAGCTTGTAGAGCAATTTGCTAAAGATGATAGAGGTTAAAAGCCTCTTTATTTTTGATTTGGTACTAGCAACTTAGATTATATTAATAGATTATTCCATCTGTTATCTAGTATTCAGTTGTAGTTAGTTGTTTAGGATATTTTTCCCCTGTGCTGCATAACAGTCCTTTCCTAAAAGCATGCTTTTTTTCCCCTCAGAATTCTATGTATCAGCGTGTTATTAAAAATCAGTAGGCCTGATTTCTACTAATTTGTCAATATGACCATCCTTAACCCCTTCTATTCATTTGGCTAACAGCATACCGTTGTCCTCAAGAGTTCTCCTAGAAACTGAGATTTCCATGAAAAAAATCAAGTGGAATAAAGGCTGATTTTGACTAACTTTAATTGGAATTGGCTTTTCCTAAATAGTCATTTGTTTTAAGCATTGTTGTCTGTTACATATTTTAATGGCAGCCTTAAATGGATTGTCTAGTATAATGTATTAATTTTCATCCTCATAAACTGTAGTACTTTTTACCGCCAAGTAATATGCTCTGAAGAAGCAAAACTATGGCTAGTGGCCTTCAAAATACCAAAGTATGGTTTATTTGGGAGCTATTTATTACCACTTTCTGCTTCCTCCTCCCTTAACCCTCACTATGTGTTAAGTTCTGCTAAAACCTTCCTTTCTTCCAAACCTTTCCCCCTCATCTTCAAGACACTTGGGTTGCCTTTACAGTATTTATGAAACTAAATAATTTTTAAAATTTGGGCTATATATGTGGTCTTGTACAAAGATCAAATATTTTTAAGATTAATTTTGCATTTCTAACCCTGAAGTTATTATAGCACTCAATATATTTATGCAGTGTCTATTACAATATCTCAGCACTTGGAAAGATGATTTTCTGTTATCATTTTGCAAATTAGAAGTCTGAATTATAAGGAATTTGAGTATCGTAAATGTCATTCTAAGTTTTTTTCTCTTTTTTATCCTCTTTTGTGGTGAATGTTGGCTTAAGAAATGTTTCAGGTGATTCCTTTCCCCCCGGCTCTAACATTCCAAGTTTGCCTCTGATTTACAGAAATGTAGGGAAGCTGAGCATTCCTCTTATATCATCCTATTATTGGTCCTAAATCCAAATTTTCTTTTCTTAATAACCTATTTTACTTCTTTCAGTGACTTTCTTTCGTATTAGGCATCCCCTCAGGCTTCTGTATAATTTCCATACAGATCTATGTTGTTTCATCTACCTGTTTTTTGTGACCACTCCCCTTTTTACCTCAATTCTTGATTCTTTCTTAAGCTTTTTCCTCACTTCCGAGACACATTCAACTTCAGTCTCTTACTTTCAGTCTATCTCTTGACTCTCGGGCCCAGTTTTTCATTTTAGTGAAAAACAATAATAACAATGTTCAGTTTTCTGCTCTTTATCTTCACTTGCTCTTTCTGCCTTCCATTTAATATTTTTGGTAGGTAACACTCACGCCTTCTAGGCTAGAGTGAAAGTATCCACCAATGAGGAAAGAGCTGTTGATGAATTCAGCGAGACATTTGGTGGTCCCGAAGGGTTGTTTGAGGATCATCAGCAATTGATCACAATGTCACAATAATGATCTGCTCTATCACTCTTGAGATTGTAGACTCCCTACAACTTTCTTCTCTGTCTCCTGAGTGCAGCTTGTTTCAAACTTTCTTTGTTTCAGACTCTCCAACATAAGGGACAGCTAGGTGGCGCAGTGGATAGAGCACTGGCCCTGAAGTCACAAAGACCTGAGTTCAAATCCGGTCTCAGACCAAACACTTGACACTTAACTAGCTGTGTGACCCTGGGCAAGTCACTTAACCCCAGTTGCCTAAAACAAAACAAAAAAAACCCAAACTCTCCAGCATGACTCTTGACAACTTATGGGTCATGAGAGTGTCTTAAACACCCTCCTCCCTCCAGACCTTGTGTCCTCTTTCCATCAGACAGTTGTAGGTAGGGGAATTTCTCACTTATTTCTTTCTTTTTATTTTTTTTTTGTTAATTTATTTTTAGTTTTCAACAATCACTTCCATAAGCTTTTGAGTTTTAAATTTTTCTCCTCCTCCCTCTTCACCTCCCTCCCCAAGATGGCATGCAATTTGGTATAGGCTTTACATATACATTCCTATTAAACATTTTCACATTAGTCATGTTGTAAGGCAGAAATAGAATCAATAGGAGGAACCACAAGAAAGAGGAAACAAAACAGAAGAAAATAAAAGAGCAAATAGTAAGCTTTGATCTGCATTTAGACTCCTTAGTTCTTTATTTGGATGTGGATAGCATTTTCCACCATGAGTCTTTTGGAATTGTCTTGGATCATTTCATTGCTGAGAAGAGCTATCTTCTATCTATCAAAGTTGCACATTGCACAGTGTTGCTGTTACTGTGTACAATGTTCTTCTGGTTCTGCTCACTTCACTCAGCATCAGTTCATGCAAGTCTTTCCAGGTTTTTCTGAAGTCAGCCTGTTCATTATTTCTTATAGCACAATAGTATTCCATTCCATTCATATACCCCAACTTGTTCAGCCATTCCCCAATGGATGGGCATCCCCTCAATTTCCAGGTCTTTGCTACCACAAAAAGAGCTGCTATGAATATTTTTGTCCATGTCAGTCTTTTTCCCATTTTTATGATGTCTTTGGAATATAGCCCTAGAAGTGCTCTTGTTGGGTATGTACATTTTTATAGCCCTTTGGGCATAATTCCAAATTGCTCTCCAAAATGGGATCATTTCACAACTCCACCAACAATACATTACTGTTCCAATTTTCCCACATCTTCTCCAACATTTATCATTTTCCTGTTTTGTCATGTTAGCCAATCTGTTGGTGTGATGTGGTACCTCAGAGTCGTTTTGATTTGCATTTCTCTAATCAATAGTGATTTAGAGCATTTTTATCATATGACTATAGATGGCTTTAGTTTCTTCATCTGAGAACTGCCTGTTCATATCCTTTGAGCATTTGTCAATTGGGGAATGACCTCGCTTATTTCTTTAAAGCTCTAAACAGTGTCATTTGGTAAACAAGAGGGTGGGGAGGAAGGGAAGGAACAAGCATTTATTGAGTGCTCATTATGTGCCAGGCACTCTGCTAGGTACTTTTACAAATATTATCTCATTTGTTATATAGGAATTTTATGTGGTAGGAACATCAGAAAGAAACTATTACATACCTATTTCAGTGTCATTTACCATATGAAGAATAAATAATTCTGTGCCTCCTGGGGTGGAAAGTGCATGCTTGTATCAGAGGTGTTAAAAGCCTCAGAATGTAAAGAGATATTACATTGGAAATGTAAGGGGAAGCTGAGCATAAAAATAGATTTGAGCACGTCATGCCACTACCTGCAAGCCCAAGATTTACATTCTTCTACAGTGTGTGGTCAATTTTGTCTTTAAAATTCTTGAAAAAAATTTTTTTTATTTACTTAGCCCTCTGTCTCCCTGCTCCCATAATATAATATATTTCCTGGCATTAGTGATTTCTGGCATAATGGAAATTATGTAGATAACTAGGTGGTAGATATATTTAGCTACTTTCTACTAAATTTTAAATAGTTTCTCCAAGTAGAGAATTAAGAATATCAATTGGTGACCAAAAGTGATTTCTCGCTACCCTTGGAATATAAATCTAATGATGTAATCAGGAAGGGTCCTGAAGGCCTTTCCTTAAGGTACTGAGCAAAGCTGCCTTCTTAAGATTAATTGCGGTTGTGAAAATTTCTGTTAAACTATTACTGATGGTCATAATTTTTAAATGCTTTCTCACCTTTGATTTTATTTGATGATATAAAAACAAAGAAGTGTCTGCTGTTCCATTTTAGAATGTGAGGTAGCATGTATAGTATTTCTGAATCTTATTTTCCAAACTTGACTTTCCAGGCCCCCAATTCTTACCAGTCCATCGCCTTCAAAATCCATTCCAATCCCACAGCCTTTTCGACCAGCAGATGAGGATCATCGGAACCAGTTTGGGCAACGAGACCGGTCCTCATCGGCTCCCAATGTGCATATAAATACAATAGAACCTGTCAATATTGATGTAAGTATTCTGTATCTTTAGAGTCACAATAAGGTAAATTAACTTTTTTATGCATTGTATTAGTTGTAGTGGAAATTTTCACTAATCACAGATCAGAGAAATTTTTAACATCTTTCCTAAATTTATGTACATTACTGATTAGTGCTCTAAATCAGTCATAATATACTCTTTATTCTTACAAACCACTCCCTGTAGTTCTGTACCCAAGAAGCTTTCAGCCATTCATTACTTTGTAGTCATTGTGAAATGAACATCACCATAGCTAATATGCTCTAAAAAGTAATTTTAAGTTATTTCATTAAGTTGTATTAATTTTTAATCTTGAGCATCCTTGTGATGGTGTGCTCAAAGTACATCTTTGCATAGACAAAAGTATCCCCCAAGAGCTAATCATTTATTTAGCTCCTATATAGCCATGAATTCCTTCTTTCTTCAGTAATTCATCCTAATCCATTCAAACAAATATTTTCTCTTTATGTTGTGTTTCACCAAATTGTAATGCTATGGGCCAGTCATCTAGAGAAGGAAGATCCAGGGACTACCTCTGGCTCCACTTGCTCTGAGATGCCAGTTCTGCTTTGCAACAGCAAGCCTAGGATCTGGCTTGCTCAAGATTTATATTTTTTTCTCACTTCTGTCACTTGCCATCTTTTTCCTGGGTTCTCTAGCATTTAGCTATTTTATTGGAAAAGAATATAAGTTTCTTAACCTTCTCTCATTTCTCCCAACCCCTACATTTCTTTCCTCACCTGTCCCACCTCCTCCAAGCAACTCATTACCCCATAGGTCATTTTTTAAAAGAAATTTAATACAAAACATTATAGAGAAAATATGCAGGGTGAGGCCAGAGATAAGAAATACAGCTAGAAGATTTAAAGTATATAAATTATAAGAATTCTTCTGCTAGGTTAATTTTGGTCCTTTCTATCAACTACAGGAAACTAGACCTTGCCCTTTCTTAGCTGTCCTTCAGCCTAGTCTTGTCCTCTGCTTTCTCAGTTCTGACTTTCTGGCTAATAGATATGATTATAAAGTTAGATTAAGGTCTCATCTAAGAATAAAGTTGAAAGGGAACTCAGAGGTCATCTAACCCAACACCACCCTGAAGCATGGATTTTCTTCTGCAATGTCCCTGACAGACAATTTATCCAGTTTTCACTTAAGCACATCCAGGGATGGAAAGCCATTATTCCCCAATGCATATTTGCTCCACTCTAGTTTTTAGACCACTCTAATTGCAAGGACTTTTTCTTGTATGTTTAGCCAAAATTTGCCTCTGGATAACTTCTGCCCATTGACCCCAGTTCTGTTCTTTGCAACCAGTGAAAATAAATCTAATTCTTCCACAAAATTGTTAATCCTTCAAATATTGAAAGACAGCTTGTTACCTTCTCCTATAAGTCTCCTATTTTTGCAGGTTAAATATGCCCAGTTTCTCCCATAGATCTTCATTTGATGAGATTTCTAATCCTCTTCATAGCCTGGTAATCCTGCTATTGATAAGTCATGGTTTTTTCAATGTCCTTCCATGCCATGGGACCCAGAAGACAACTCAGTACTCCAGATGTAGTCTGAGCAGGGTCACATCCAGCAGAACCATTGAGTCCATTGCTGTAGACACCATCTTTCTATTCACACAGCTAAAAATTAAATTAAAATTGTGGCACATTGACTCTCATTGAATTTGCAATCCACTAAAATCCATCTTTTTCAGGTGAATGACTTTATAACTGTGCTTATTCTTGTCTTTCCCTCCCTCACCCTGCTTATTTGTGCAATTGATTTTTTGAACCTAAGAATAAGACTTTAAAGTTATCCCTCTTAAATTTAATCTTGCTAATATCAATCTATCATTGAAATTTTTCAAGATATCTTTTGGATCTGAACTCTGTTATCCAGTGCATCAACTGTTTTGTCCAACTTTTTGCCATCCACGTAACTTGATGAGCATACCATCCATGCCTTCATCCATGTGATTTGATTTCAGTTTTGAAAAAACACCCTTGCATTCCAGATTGTGCTTTTTTACTCCTCCCAGCCAAGAGTTTGGAGTTTAGAGCCTTGCAGTGGGTGTCTCTGCCTTTGGTCCTCTGCCTCCCCATAACTTTACCACAAGGCTGCTCTTGTATCTCCTGGATGATCTGCAGACTCTCCTCTCTCCAACTGTACTTATCCACCTGTTTAGTCACAGTAATGTTTTTAATCAAACCTGGGATTTCATTGGTGTATAGGGATGCATAGGGAGAAACTTCCTGGGCCCATCCGTGTGGATGCTTTGTCTGCTACTTGATAGTGCAGAGAGTGGTCAATGTCCTACAGCCATTATGTATTAAAGGGAAGGCTCGAATCCAGGCCTTTCTTTTCATTGTGCCATCATACTCCCTCTTCTTAATTATTTATTTCCCCTTCCCAGAATTAGTTTAATGGCTGCCTGTTCCTGAAGGAAGATTTAGACTCTGTAGCTTGACATTCAAGGCATCCCATAGCCAACCCCCCAACTTAACTCTTTAGTTATATCTCATGTTGCAAGAACTCCGTTCTAATAAAACTGGTTTAATCAAGCTATTCTACTTATCACCCTTAGAACATATGTTCATTCACGTGCTCTTTGCTTAAGCCCTTCCCTTCTTCCTATCCAAATCTTTCCATCCTTGCAGACTCAGCTCAAGTCCTCCCTTCACCTTTAGTGAGTGATTTTTTTTCCTCCTCTGAATTTCTAGTACATTTTTCTAGTACATTTATTTTCTTATTGTGTCTACCTTAATTATAAAGTACCTTCTGGTATCTCTTGTTGTCTTGAATTGTTATCTAAATATTATATTACTAACTGACTTCCTTTTACCTCTTAATAATCCAATTAGATGATAAACTCTTTTAAGGCCTGTCTTATGCCTCATGTCATTTTGTATCTAGTAGCTGCTCAGTAAATGCCTGCTAAATTGTTATCTGAATAAAGGGCAGTGAGTGCTATACCCTGACAATCCAACAGAAATTTCTCTTTAAATAAATTGCTTCTGTATTTAATGTCATGGTTTCTATACAGAAAGTTAGACCCTTGGCAGATGAGTAAACTTAATTCACAGAGAAGTTTAAGGGTAATGGTAAATCATGAAGACTGCTCAGTCAGGCTGGAGGTGAGCAGAGGCACAGGCTGAAGTGGGAAGTTTCTCTTCTACCTCTACCTCTCCTGCAGTCACTCAAGTTAGATATATTTTGATTTTTTGCATTGTCAGTAGGCCTTTTTTTAAAGTGAATTGGTACTTTCACTTGATTTTGAACACCTGAAATAATTTAGTAAATCTATATTAAGGTGATCTCTTATCAGTAGGTTCAAATTAGGGACTGTCTCTTTTTTGGATGACATCTTAGATGTTGGCCAGCCTATGGTTTTTAAGTTTTATGAAGTCAAACTGGCCTCATTTCAATTAGCCCAGCTACTAGTGATATTTAGTGGGAAATGAAACACTATTTTTGATCTTTAACTGTATAATCGAAGTAAATACACATTACTATTTATTTATAGGACTTGATTAGAGACCAAGGGTTACGGGGTGATGGAGGTAAGTAGTCATTTTAATTTTGCAAGAGAATTTGGGGGGAAATGTGCAATTGCTTTGCTGCCTCTATCCTTTTTTACTGGCTCGTTTCATGAAACACAGACACAGAGAGAAATGTGTAGAGAAAAACCAAATTATCAGCTTTTCTTTTCTGTGGTATTTAGCATTTGCCCTGATAAAACATATATTAATTTGGCTGGGTAGAGTAGGCACATAGGAGAAAGAAACTTAAATGTTCCATCAATTATTTTGAAGTATTTTCATATGGAGAATTCTACTTCTTTGTTGATCTGTATCCATCCTCAAAATATAGTTATTACACTTCCCTTTGGGATGTTTATTTCTTTTTTAAACTTGATCACAGGGTTTTCTGGTGATCAAATTTCTCCTGATAACTACTATCTTCATATTAATGTATCCTGGAAGTTTTCCAACCTCCCCAGTATTCCAGCCAATTTCTATGATGCCCAGGTGACTAGTAATAGTAGGTTGGTGTTTATGACTTCTTCCCCTTGTCTTCCTGAAAAAAGTATAAAGTCTAGATGTGTTATACCATAGGTGACTGGGCAGATGTTCAATTACCCCTTGGAATAGTTCAGTTCTGCCTAGAAAACAAACAAACAAGCTGAATTCAGACCCATTACCAGTCAACCTGGCACTGATTACAGTATCCAGGTATAAATTTGGAGGCTAATGAAAATATTCATCATAAGAATATTTCTCATAAAATGTTGCCCAAAGGATCATGTTTCAGGATATCTTGTTACCTAGCAAGATCTGTCCTTATAAATGTTCTTATAAGTGAGTATAATAATTGAATGCTTTTATGGCTTTATACAAATATCTCTTAATATGGCCTCTTCATTTCGACTTGTTATATACCTTTATCAGAATATCTAAATTTTTTTCTATCTAAATCCATTCTATAATTGTGTTTTGTTGTACTGCCTCTTCACCTTTAAAACTACTAAAATGCTAGGTCTCCTTGCCTTGTGAACTCTGCATCTAGAGTTTATAGTACCTCGGATATAGAAATTTTTTGTTTGTTTGTTATTCTGTGAACCCACCAGATAATGTTGTTGCCAGTTTGACTTTCATATGTCTTGATAACTGTGGCTTTTGATAATTTTCCCCCAATACATCCAGCATTTAAATGTTGTGGTCATGTTGGCATCACAAAGCTATTAACCTAGTCATAAAAAAGGGCCTGCTTAGTATCTAAAATTAAATGGCAATTTTTACCCTTCATATTGAGTTGCTTTGGGTTTGGGGAGGATTTTTTGGTTTATTTATTTTAGTTATTGGGATTTTATGAAAATAAGTATTTGTGTTTTTTTTTAATGACCAAAATTATTCTGTTAAGCAGGCTTCAAGTCATCTTATTTATTCCCCATGACTTCTTTCATTTCTTCTGTGTGTCTGTCTTCCTGTCTCTGCCTGCTCCTTTCTTTCTCTCTCTAACAGCCCCCTTGAACCAACTGATGCGCTGTCTTCGGAAATACCAATCCCGGACTCCCAGTCCCCTCCTACATTCTGTCCCCAGTGAAATAGTGTTTGATTTTGAGCCTGGCCCAGTGTTCAGAGGTAGTTGGGCTCTTCTTTCTTGTTTTCACACCACCCCAAACCCCCCAAAATAAATAAATAAAAACCACAAATGCTGTTCGTGCCTCACCCTCACAGCGTGTGTTTGTAAGTGTGAGAGTTTTCAGAGGAAAAAAAAAACAACCCAATTTTCTGCTTGGCCTGGCTGGAATGCTCTGAATGTGCTTCTTACACATATTCACTACCACTAGCTTTCTGTATGTTGTCTGACATAAACTTTTAAAAGCAAGGAAATTCTGAGCTGAAGTGTCCATCTTGTTTTTACCTTGTAACTATTGGTCATGTTTGCTGCAAATTTATCTGGAAGGAGCTAACAAGGTATGGGCCTTCAATCTGAATTCCTTTGGTTTTAATCCATTTAAGTGACATCTCTGTGGTGATTAATGTTTTTATTTGTATTTTAGCAGTCATATTCTGTGAAAATGTAAATTAGATAAATTATTCAGGGACACATTATTGGGACTTTGATTTTTTTTTGAGATTCTCTGATAATCAACAATATTAATGCTTCTGTGCAATGGGAAATAGATTATTTTATAACATATTAAGCACTAGAAACAAGTTACTATGCAGAAATAAAAGTTATTGTACATGATTATTCCTAATGTACTTAAGGAAACTTAAGTTTCTGTTCTTCATTGATGCTATGTAATGTTAGATTCAGTCTTTACTGTGAGAGAAAAAGGGTAGCAGCATGATTTCACACTCAAAAGTGAGATGACATCCTATGTCACTCTCCATATTTCAGGTACTGTGGTTACATTTATTATAATTCATTTAATGGTACAAAATTGGTATAGATATCTTACTGTACTTAATCTAAAAGACAAATAATGAGGCTTAATATGGGTTAGTGGATAGAGAGATAGCTTCTAGTCCAGAAAGGTCTGGGTTCAAGTTCCACCTCAGACATATGCTGATTGTGGGGCCCTGGACAAATTACTGAACCTCTCATTGTCCCCCAAGCAACTCTTAGGCTGTAAGAGGCAGAACAGTTGCTCATTTGTATTGGTAGAGGGAGTTTCCTTACTGGGAGTGCCCCATACCAGTGATTTCATGGGAGGGGGTATAGCTTAGTACAGTTAGAATCAAAAGACCAATTGAGTTCAAGTCCTGACTCTGATTGATACTAAATTATATAATCTTGGCAATTCACTTAATCCTGGTTCCCCAATCTGTAAAATGGGGATATTTGTTCTACCTTTGTCAGGATTGTTCCTAGGTAAGCTCTCAGTAAAACACTGTATAAGTATGCATTATTTTCAAAGATTTTGCTAAAAGGTGTTAATTACTTGGAACTGTTCATTTGTGCTTCCACATTAAGCTTCAGCTTCTAGGCCTTATAATCGCTTTCCTAGGTCAACTGTTCCTATCCTTGGAAAGTATGCAGAATTTACTGAGAAAAATTAGTTAATTAGCATAGTTGCTTAGAAAAGTTTAAGTCAGTTAAACATCATCAAGCAATCGAGCCTATTTGTTGCAGTGGTTTTATATAAAAAGATAGACAGAACCAGTTAATCTCAATCATCATTTTGTTCTTTCAGAGAATTGGATATAAAAGATGGGATGGCCAAATTTTTACACAGGCTAAACCTTTGACTAATGTTACTGTTATTTTTCCTTTTGCACTAGATTGAAGTATAACTTTTCTATTAATGGTAGGAAACATCTTAAGAAGCAGTATCTCCCTCAAGTTGTTGTTTTTTGTTTTTTTGTTTTTTGTTTTTGCTATATATGTGGAGGGATTAACTTGGACTGTGTTACCAAGTAATTATCTATATGACAGCACTCCAGGAGGACATCAGATATTTAATCTCCAAATTTAAACCCAGGAGAATACTATGAGAAAATCTCAATGCAACCCCACTGTTAAAATAGGGAACTTGAGCACCCCCTGAGCCAGATTCAGAAAGACCCTAGATTCTGCTTATTGGCCTGACCACGGAACTACCTTCCCACTTTACTTCACCATAGCTTCCCATATCCCCCAAAAGGATAGAAGTCATTTTAGTGATTTCATCTTGAATAAGCTTTGCAAGCTCTTGGAAACATCCTAAAGGTGCCAACAGGAAGCAGAGGTAATATTCTGTAGGCTAGGACAAGGCTACCAGAATCTAGTGGATCCTTTGATCCATACTGGTGAGTCCAAGCTTTCCCTACAACTCTTGAATATGGATCTCCTTTCAGAAAGAGTATGTGCTAGGATTCCCTTGACCAATAGACATATTACATAGGCAGTAATTTAGCAATGAAGCTGTGGAATTTGTATCTCTTAAGTTTTGGTCATTTGTAAAGGAACTTTGTTGTTTGGATTTTTTTGGCCAGCAAAACCTACTTGACTTTGTGTATACCATTAATTTTATATATAGATAAAGAGTCCATCTCTGTGTTTAACAGACCTTAGGGAGACAAAAAATTCATAAGTAGTGCAGCTTATTAGGGTATAGTGTGCTTCTTTGGATTAAATATTTTATATTTCTAGATAACATGAATCAGATTGGTTTTTTTAATTTTTAGGGCTATCACAGTCTCATTCTCCCATCTTTTTGTGATCTGCCTTTTTTATTGGAACTAATCTGCTACAGAAATAAACATCTGATTTGTGATTTTCATTAGTATTAGCTGTTATTTTTTTTAATTTAAAGAAAAATGGTACTCAGACTTAGCATTAATATGTAAGATGAACTACTGCAACAGTTTGATAGAGAAAATTGAGTGGAGTTTATTGGATAAGAATCTATAAGCACATTAAAACATGAATGTCCCTCTAAGACAGGTGGAGGTACTGCATCTTTAAAAACAAGTCTTAAATTTCTTAAGATTTTTTAAAACAATAGATTTGATCCTCCTTTAATGGATGCATTTTTAAAAAAATAATTCAGGGTCAACCACAGGCTTGTCTGCCACCCCTCCTGCTTCCTTGCCTGGATCTTTAACTAATGTGAAAGCATTACAAAAATCTCCAGGACCTCAGCGTGAAAGAAAATCTTCATCATCTTCTGAAGACAGGAATAGAATGGTAAGGACAGAAGGTCATATTCCTGCTTTTCTCCTAAGTTTTTCTTTTTTTAGAGGCCATGTAGTAGCAACTCAAAGAGCAATGGACATTGGTTGTAAATCTTGTTGCGTTATTAGTATCCAAGTAATACTTGACACAAGTTAGATACTATAGATTTTGCTTCATGCAAAAACCAAAATAATTTAAACTAGCTGTGGTCACTTAATACATTATCCAAATGTGCTGATTTAGTCTTCTCTGACATGCAATTTATATTGTTCTAGAAACTGTCTTAGAACTGACAATCTTTTGGTGCAGGAATTATTTCTGAACCTCTGATTGCTGTTTTCATCTCTGCCATGGCTGAAACAAAGGCATTGGTAGTTGAGGAATGATATCTACTCTTTCTGGTAATTTGGTAGCAGGAAGAGGGGGAAGGGAATAGCATGTGCAAATGTTTACTTAAGAGCTTGTATGGCCTGTTTTCTTAGGAAAAAAAATCAGACAAGGTAGATCATGAAAACTGCTTAAGGGACATTGTAATGGAAGGATAGGGATTGATTGGTGAAATCACCTTGATATGTTAGATTTAATTATTTTGGTTTAAGAAATGAGTACCAAAGTAAGAATTCATTTTGTATATCCCAACATCAATTTTTTCTTAAGGACCATGCCTTAAACCCAAATCACTCTGGCTCTCATTGATTGGCCAACAATAGGTCCCAGCCCAAGCCTCCTTTGGTCATTGTTTGGGCCCTGAGAGTGAATGTAAATAGCAGTTGTTTCTGTTTTGGTCAAAAATCCTGAGGGTCTTCCCCTCCCAGATTGATTTTTTTTTTGGACTAGGTAAAAGAGGGTATTCTCTGCCTTATTTCTTACCTAGCCTGAATCACACTAAATGAGGTGTTACCTCAGTCAACTGAGACCTGTTAAAAGACCTTAGCTTAAAAAGGCCAAGGTCTCCCACTGCATCCAGGGACATCTCTAGTTGTCCTTATCTGTATCTTGCCCCTGGACCCAGATGGCACCAGAGGAGAAAGTGAGATTAGTGACTTTGTGTAGCCTTCTCTCACTAAATCCAATTCACTTGCGTGTCCAAACAACAGCAGTGTTTTATGAGTGCCCTAATGTTGAGGTGTAGGTGCCAGGGGTTCTGGGACCCCAAAATCACAATACATAGTTTCTGCCTGAATGAATTCTGCCCAACTCTTCTTTCAGCCAAAGACAAGGTTTTATTAGAGATGAACCATACAGGCCAGACTCTCAAGGAATTTGGACATTAGTGACACCTGTAAGGACAATTGGGCATGAGGAAATCTCAGCGTTTAAGTGGAGCCAGCTAGCTGTGTGACCATGGGCAAGTCACATAACCCCTAATGCCTCACCAAAAAGCAAACTAAATAAATAAAAGGGGGCCAGGATGGATCTTATATACAGCCAAGTAATTTGGAGGAGGAGCTGGGAAGAGGATCTTGAGGCTGGAGTGACTGGGGGAGGAGTTTAGGGAGAACCCCATGGGAGAGCATGGGAGGCAGAATGGGGTCACCTGGGAATACACAGTGGGGGGTTAAGCTCCATCAGGGTAACTGAAACAGGGTAACAGGGTTAAGAACTGGAAGATAGGGAAGAAAGAGGTTGAATGGGGTCTGGATAAGATCCTAAATGGGAAATATAGCAGGCTTCATTAGGGTATCAAAAACTAGGCTTCATTAGGGTATCAGAGAGATAGCGGCCTAGGCTATATATAAGGCCAGTTAATAATCTGGAGACTGCTAAACTTCCTTGACCAGATAAGTGAGTTCAAAGAAAGTTTAAGGGTTTTCTGGGGCCCATAGACAAATGGGACCCCAATTCTTTTTTGGAGTGAGGGGCAAAGTTCTTGACTTGGGCCCATACCCCATCATTGATACTGAATTGCAAATCAGAGATTGCTAATTCTGATGAAAAATAAAATCATAATTTAAATCTTTTCATATATTATATCATTACTGGCTTAGACAAGTCTTAAAATATATTTCCTTTATAATGAATAAATCTGATTTTATGTTATTTTGGTTGAATTTTATTTTAGAAAACCCTTGGTCGACGGGACTCAAGTGATGATTGGGAGATTCCAGATGGGCAGATTACAGTTGGACAAAGGATAGGATCTGGATCATTTGGAACAGTCTACAAGGGAAAATGGCATGGTATGTAAACATTAGGATAAAACTTAGCTTTCGGGGGCAGCTAGGTGGTGCACTGGCCCTGGATTCAGGAGGACCTGAGTTCAAATGCGGCCTCAGACACATAACACATAACTAGCTGTGTGACCCTGGGCAAGTCACTTAACCCCATTGCCTAGCCAAAAAAAAAAAAAAAAACAAAACAAAAAAAACCCCTTAGCTTTCAAGTTTATAATTATTGCATATTTTTTAAATCTTTCATGGAAAGTACTAAAGTAAGTATTATTTATTTTATCATATGGCATATCATTCAATGGAATTCTCCAAAGATTGATTTAAAAACTACAAGAAATAAAAATAGGTTTTTATAGATTCATGATATTAATACCCTTTCCTGCCTTTTGTTAAAGCATGATTCAAATTCACTTTTATTCATATATGAAAATCCTTAAGCTGATCTCAAATACAAGTTCATGACAAAATGTGTTGTTTTCAATATACATGGTCGCTCTAGTGTTAAGCTACATTAAAGATGTTAAACTACATTAAAAACCATAATTGAACATCTAAGTATATGTAATCATATTAGTGATTCCTTTTTATAAAATCATCCCTTTTTATAAAAAAAGTAACAGATGAGATAGGTTGATACTCGAGCTTAAAGTAATCCATAAACTGAAAAAGCCTCAAAAATTGCAGTACTAAAAGGCTGGTTTCAGTTTACTTGTCTTTCAGCCAACATGAATGAGTCTGACATTTTTTGCTTCAGCCTTATCAGTTGTTAACTGCATTTCTTTTTCGATCTAGTAGTTAACCACTCTTGAAAATGGTTTTGGAATGCAGCTGACAAAGCTGAATTCCCAATAACTTAAACATTATAAATTCTTCTGGCATGTATATCTCTCATTGGTTGGGTTTTTCCCTAGAAAGTTAAGGCGTAGGGGCAGCTAGGTGGTGAGTTCAAATCCAGCCTCAGACACTTCTTAGCTGTGTGACCCTGGGTAAGTCACTTAACTTGGATTGCTTCCCAAAAAACAACTAAACAAGAAAGAAGTTAGTATAATTCATAAGCACATTTCCTAGTGATGTAGATTTTAGCGGGGCTATGGTGACTGGTGAAAATAACCAACCATTCTTTTTTTAAAAATGCTTTTCTCTTGGGATGACAATTATCTTCTAGGTGATGTAGCTGTGAAAATGTTGAATGTGACAGCACCCACACCTCAGCAGTTACAGGCTTTCAAAAATGAAGTAGGAGTGCTCAGGTGAGCATTGTGTAAATTATTTTCCAGAGAATTGAGACACTTATGATGTGTTTCCCATTTATTTACTGGCTTTGCAATTTTTCCTGCTCGCTGAGCCTAGGAGTCCCCAAGCCTCAGTACTGAGCCCTCTTCTCTTTTCTCAGTGTATCTTCTTCTTTGGACCTCATCCATTCACATAGATTCATTTATCATCTTTACACAGATGATAAATTCTATATGTTCAGCCCTAAATAAGCTGTCTTCTGCACCCCAGTTTTCAAGAGCCCTACATCTGATTTCTGGGTGTTTCCATGTCCCCGGCTGAATGCATTCTTCTCTCTCATGTCCTTTAACCCTACTGATCCTTCCTTTACACTTACCTATTCCTCTCTAAGGTGTTCCATCCTCCCAGGCACCAACATTCAGATGCTCCGACTCTTTCACCCCTCTTCTACTTCACTATATTCAGTTGTTACAAGGCTTGTGGAGTCTACTTCCTGCCTCCATAGCACTTCCCAGTCATCCTGTTCTCCATTCATGTAGTTCACCACTCTAGTCCAGTCATCCCTCCTCTATACTACTAAATCAATCACCTTTCCACCAGTCCCTTCTGTAGTCCACTCTTCACATCCCCACCAAAGTCATCTTTGTGTAGCACAGGTCTGACTGCTTCGCTTCCACGCTCAAATTCACTTCATTTCAGTTCGCTTTTAAAAGTACTTATTAAGTGTCTATTGTATGCCAAGCATCATGCTTAGATACAAAGAGAATGAGACAGTGCCCTCAAAAAGCTCACCTGTAACTGTAGGGCTACAACATGCACACAGATAAGTAATCACAAGGTACATGGGAAAAATTACAAAGAAATTGCAGGAGAGGAAGGGAAACACTAAGAACTGGGGGCATTAGGAAAGACCTCTTGAAATCAGGGTCACTTGAACTAAGCCCCAAGGGGAGGTAAGGACTCACGAAGTGGAGATGATGACAGGGAGACTGTTACAGCCCATACAAAGGTCCTGAGGTCGTAGAAGATGCAGTGTCGTGGATGAGCAACAGCAGGTAGCCCAGCGTGGCTGGAATGTCCAGTGTGTGAGACAAGATCGTGTTTGATCGGTATGGAAAGTCAGATGAGCCAGATTGTGGAGGATCTGCATGTACCAGCAGAGATGTGTGTATTTTATCATAGTGGCAAGAGAAAGCAATTGAAGCTCTTGAGCAAAGTGATGCCTGCAAGTCCAGGCTGTGAGAGAGGTTTGAATGAAGGAAGGCAGTACTCACTGTGTGCGGGGCGCTGTGCTGGTTCTACAGTGCAGGAAAAGGCAAAAACAGTCCCTGCCCTAAAGAAGCCTACATCCTGGTGGGGGAACAACGTTTAAATAGTGTGGTAAATAGCAGACATGTGCAGGGAAGATGTCAGCAGAGAAGACAGCCCAGTGCCTGTGGGGCCCAGGAAGAGCCTGCTACCGAAGGTGGTTTTGAGCTGAGTTCTTGACAAAAGTCAGGGATCCCAAGAAGGAGAACACTCCAGGCATGGATGACAGCCAGTGAAAATGCACAGCTGGGAGACAGAGTGCCTCTCTTTTGAGGGACAGCAAGGAAACTAGTGTCTCAAGAGGGTAGATTGTATGGAGGGGAGTAAGGTATAAGAAAACTGGAAAGGTAGGAAGGGCCCAGATGACAAAAGGCTTTAAAAGCCAAACCAAGTATAGATAATTTTTCTAGGAATTTGGCTGTGAAAAACAAACAAGATAGAGGATGGTAGCTTAAGGAACAAAATGAATAAGTTAAGATTTTTTATAGATGTGGTTGATCTGGGCACGTTTGTAGGTGTAGGAAATAAGCCAGTGGAAAGAGATTTGAAAATTGGAGCGATGGAGGGGCTATCCAAGGGGTGGGCTCCTGGAGGAAGGGAGAGGGGTGTGATCCAGGCACAAGTAGAGAGGCTAGAGCTTTTGCTTCTTCTAGCATCTAGGTGGTGCAGTGTATAGAGAACCAGACCTGGAATCAGGAAAACTTGAGGTCAGATACTTTTTGATTTATTTATCATGAGGCCCTGGGCAAGTCACTTAACTTTTGTCTGCCCCAGTTTCCTTATCTATAAAATGGGGATAAACATAGCACCTACCTTTCAGGATTGTTGGGAGGATCAAATGAGATAATATTTGTAAAGGACTTTGCAAACCTTGAAGTGCCATGTAAATGCTCGCTGTTGTTAGAGTAAAATATAAACTTGGCCTGCCATCTAGGGCCCTTTACTGTCTGTCTCCAGTCTCCATTTCCAGCATGGAATTTACAGCATGGAACCATGGAAAGGAAATGGGCATTTGAGTTAGGAAATCTAGGTTTGAATCTTATTCTCTACTTACTATCTGTGTGGCCTTGGACAAGTCATTTAACCTGCAAAGATCTAAGGAGGATCAACTCACTGGCTTGTGAGCCATTTTTTATTCTTTCAGCGAAACTGGGACAACTAGCCATCTGAGAATCCAGCATTACATCTGCCATCCTACATTTACAAAAGCCATCCCCATGCTTGGAATGTCCTCATTGCTCAACATTGCCGTTTGGAATCCTTATCTTCCTTCAAAGCTTATCTCAGGACCCACCTTTTTTGAAACCTTCCTTTAACACGTTCTCCCTCCTCACATGTTACCAGAGTTCTTTGATCTTTTCTTTGCCTTTGTCACTTCCTAATCTTGATTATGCTTATCACTGTTTATGATATACCCTTATCTTACCACCTCACATACAATAGATTATAACCTTCATGAGGACAAGAATGTTTTAGTATTTTCTTTGTATCTTCAGTACCTACCTAGTACAGTGCAATGTACGTTGAAAGTGTTTAATCAATATTTCATCTAATTGAGTTGAGTTAAATTTTCAATAAAGCAGAAGATGTAGGAACAAAAGTGTTTTTCTGAGTAGACTTCATATTCAACCATTTTTCCTCCCAGAAATATCAGCAATATAGAAGGTGTCCAGATAACAGGAAGTTGTCTGCTGGTCAGACATATTCAACTCTGCGTATCACATTTTAAGAAGGACAGTGACATACCCAGAGTATGTGCAGGGAAGGGCAACCAGAATTCAGAGGTACAGAAATTGTAGCCAGTAAGGGTTGTTGGAGAAACTAGGAGTGCTTAACCCAGCAAAAAGAAGGAAGAGTATAATAGTATCTTGAAATAGCTGAAAAAACAAGTTCTCTTGTACTCTTTTACACCAAAAGTTCAAATATAACTTTGAAGCACTAGTCTTTCTTGATATCTACCCTTATTAATGCTCTTCCCATCAGAAACATTATTTTGTATTTGCTTTGTATGTTTTATATTTATTTCTCTCTCTGTATGTTGTTTTCCCCTTCTGCCTACTCTCCACCCTGACCCCCAATGAATGTAATTTCTTTGAAGGCCAGGACTATTTTGTTTTTATCTTGGTCGTGCTAGCATAGGGCGTGGCATATAATAGAAGTTCAATAAATGCTTCTTGAATTGAATTGAATCTTTCTTTTTGTAGGAAAACGCGACATGTGAATATCCTACTCTTTATGGGCTATTCAACAAAACCACAGTTGGCCATTGTTACACAGTGGTGTGAAGGCTCCAGTTTATATCACCATCTACATATCATTGAGACCAAATTTGAGATGATCAAGCTAATAGATATTGCACGGCAAACAGCACAAGGCATGGAGTAAGTATTTCTCTGTTGAAACTCTTTGAATTAACTTGGAAAGAGAGTTTCAGTGCACTTTAGATACTTGGACTAAAAGCATTCCTTTAGCCAAATGATTTGATCAGCACTTGAAGTTGTTGAGTCCAAGTATTATAGTATTTTAGGTCATATGCTCTTAATACAGGTAAAGTAGTAACAACAGTCCCCTATAATATTTATATGTCTTAATTCTTATAATCTCTTACAGTAACAATTTCTTTTCAAAATGTAAACTATTATTGAAAACATAGCTGTGAATTATGATTAGTGAGCAATGTTTTTAACTCTAAGGCTAAGAATTCAAAAAATGAGATCAGGTTTGCATGAAAGTATATAATACTTAAAATTCTTAAGTATTTTAAATTGTTTTGATATCCTTTCAAACAAGTTTTTCTTTATTTTTATTGATGCCAGACTTCTACTGTTATATAACATTTATTTCCAAGGGCGCCCACCCTTAACAAAGATTATAAAAGGCAAAAGGAAAAGGGGGAAAGTTGAGCAAAATCATCTGTGTCTGATATTACATACAACATTTCACACTGTAGTCACCCACCTCCACAATGAAAAGAGGGAAATCCATTTTTTCCACTCTGCTCCAAGGTCAAGCTTGGTCATTTTGATTTGTTGTTCTTTACATAAAACCAGTTTTTCTAAGTATAGATAATGTCTTCCTTCAGAATATGTCAATTAATAAAAAGCCGAAACATAAGTCTCTCCCCTGGTAATCCTTGTAGATATGTCAAGTTGTTCAGATACATTGATTTTTTGCTTGCTTAGCTAATTGGAAAGGATAATAAGTTCTTTTAAGAAACTACTAGAAGAAGAAAATAGGAAGCTGTCATAATCTGAAAGATTATGTATAATTTTTAAATTAAATAATGAATGGCAGCTTAAAAATCAAAAGGATGAGTTAAATGGATATTTTAAAACCAAGAGCTTAAGTGAGAAGTCTTAAATAAGCCAAAGTATAATACCTTGGAAGCTATAGATAAGTGACTGGAGAAGTAAACCAATATGTTTTTAAATTAGGGTAACAATGTGTTTATACACCAGTCTTGAGTCAAGGTCTGATTTTGATATGGGTCAACCACAATTAAAGCCTTGTTGGACTTCGCAGAATCTTTTACTGAACTGACATTTCAGTGTACAACAATCTGTAGTTGTCTTGAAACGTGTTAGCCATACAATAGTATTTGTGAGCTATGAGTTATAAAGAATTCATTTAAGCTTCCTTTTAATGAGATTTAAGTCTGAGATAACTTGTCTTGATTTTTGCTGAGGTAGGATTTTATGTTTTCAGTATAACATCTTCATTGCACTGGCTCTGATTATATGGTGAGGTGTTAGTCACCAGAACTGTTTCTTTGCATTATGTCCCTGTCACTTCTATTAGATTTTTGGTAATTCAAAGGACCCATAGTTAAAGAAAGTGAAGATTTTATATGTGTTTTATTATCTGCACCAAAGCCTTATTTCTCGAATCTATTCGTCTGCAAGTGATTCTTCCAGTCAACTTTTCCTTTACAATTCCTGCCCCCATACTTGGGGACTTAAGTCTACACATTAACATTCCTTAAACACTGTGGCCAACAGGTCACCAACCCCTTCAACTTCCATGACCTACATCTTTGTCTGTTGCAGCAGCCCATGGCCCTGCAATTTTAATCTCACCATCATCTCCTCCATGTGCTTCAACTCTGAAATACACCTCTCTGATCCTAAACTTCGGTCTTACTCTTGCTGAGAACTATTTGTCCTCCTCACTGTGACCTATAGTCCTTCCATTCCTCCCTGTTCTCCTGATCCAGCACCCCCTATTCCAACTTCACTTTCTAGTCTACCTTTTCAATCATCTAACTCCATATTATTCCCAAATGATCCTAGTTGAGCTGTTCTCTCTTTATTTGTTCCCATTCTCATTAACCTCCACATCTATACGATATTATCCCTCATGTACTATCATCCCCTTCCCTTTTCTCACTCCCCAGCCTTGGAAGACTTTCTGTCTTACTCTCAGTTTATTAAAATCCATTCTTTAGACTTAAGAACTCTGATCCATACTATGACCAAGCACAATCCCAGAGAATTCATAAGGAACTTTGCTATATAACTCTTGTCAGGAGTGATGATTTCAAAGGGGAGAATTAAATTTTTTTTTTGGGGGGGGGACATGGCAAATCTGTGAATTTGTTTTTCTTAACTAGGCTTATTTGTTATAAGAATCATGTTTTTATTATTATTTAGGGTGAGGAAAAGAGAGGGGAGAGAAGAACTACCAATAGCGTTGGCAAAAACAGTAAATAAGAGGATCTTTTAAATTCACAGATGAGAACTGAAGGAAGTTCAGAAGGAGCCACAAATAGGCTAGCTTTGGCTTTATTTTATACTTTTTTTAAAAAAGTACTTGTAACAGATATTAATGTTTTCATATATGATCCTCTTTTCTCTGTATGGAAAGGTGGGAGGTGGGGTTAGTGTTCATTAAATTCAGAATTTTTAAAAAATAGTTTCCTATTAGGTTATAAACTCTTTGAGAGGTGGGGAATATACCTTATTCTCTTATTCCCTCTCACCCTTCTCCTCCTTACCCCCTGTCCTCTCCCCACCCCCAGTTCCTAGTACAGTGCTTTATATCTAGAGGGTACTCAGAAGAGACTTGTCACTTATTAACAATTAACCTACAAAATGAGTTCCAAGCTTTCTCATGTTCAAGGATCACTATAACCTAGCCCCAGAGCACCTTTTCAGTCTTTGCACAATCCTAGTTAGATCTCCCCAGTCTAGGACATTTCCCTCTGCATGCTTTTGCCATTATAACTATAAGTTCTGTTTCTTGAAAGGAATCAGTTTTATAAATATTGAAATTAGAGAACCTTTAGTCTAAGGCTGGCAAACTATAAGCACTTAAGTACCTTTTTATTCTTTCATTTAAAGACTAAAAAAACCTACTTAGCCTGTCTACTAATATTATTAAACATGGAGTTGTCTATCAGCACTGGGTTGGGATTCAGAATGTCTGAATTGTAGCATCAGCCATGCCACAGACTACCTTAGGAAGGTCACTTAACTTAGCTGAGCCTAGGTAATCTCTAAGGTCCCTTTCAGCTCTGAAATCTTAAAATTCTGTGAATGGTTCTTATCATGTATGTAAAAATGGGCCTAATTCTGAAATCCTCTTAAGTATTTAAGGGAATTTTATGGACTGTATTACATCAAGGTTCAAATAAATGACCACTATACCAATTAGAACATACCAAGTCATAGCAAATATTAAACATGCCATTTAAACTGCTGGTTAAATTACCCCCAAAAAAAATCTTGCTTTAAGTGTCAGAAGACTCATCTGAGCAATTTGGTATAGTTGTGATTATACAAATGATAAGATTCAGAAGTCCAGTTCAGCTGAGCAAAATTTAGTAAATACCGTTACTATATGGCAGGGTATCCAAATACAGAATAGATGCTTTTCCCAAGGGGCTTATATTTTAAATTAGTATTCTTCAGGCTTAACCAGTAAGACTGGAAATCAGCATTTTGTGGAAGGGAATAAAGAGTCAGAACTTCAGAGTTGGCCAGAAGGATGGAGAGAGTAGGCTTCAAGGGAATGGCAAAGGTTAAAGCTTTGTAACTGATAGGGATACAAAGCAACTCTGACTTGTACCTGTAAATGAAAGCATGGAAAATAAATGTCAGACTATAATGACAGAGGCCAATTTGGAGGTCATGAATATGTATTTTATAGTCTGACAAAAAAAGGAGGATTAAAGCAGGGGTGAAAGAGAACAAGGAATTCACCAAAAGGTGAAACAGGGAACATATATTAATGTCTTCTGTCATGTAACCCAATGCTGTTTGTTAGCCAAGCATGAAATCTCAGAAAGTAACTAAAAATGACCATAAATTTGCCATGGATGTTCTTGATTTCGATATGTAAATAAGTTACCCACTTAACAGAACTAAAAGTAAGGCCTGAATGAATAGTGACCATTTTGAGAGAATGGGGAACACAAGTGGAATATCCCACATTCAAATGAATTCAGCAAGCATTATGTACCAAGGTACTGTGCTAAGTCCTTGAGATAAAGAACAAGTTGTAAAACAGGCCCTACGAGAAGCTTACATTTTCCTGGGGAATATATGACATTTACAATATAGTTAAATTAGTATAAGATAATTTAAGGAGGTGAAGAATATCAAAAACTAAAGAAATCAGCAAAGAGTTTACCCATGAAAAGTGGTACCTAATTTGAGCCTTGAAGGAAGCTAAGGAGTCTACTAGGCCGGAATCAGGGGTCAGTATATTTCATATATTCAGGCAGCATGTGGCAGAAGAAATGCCTAATTTGTGAAGCAGGAAGAATGCCAGTTTGTCTGGAACATTGAATATATGAATGAGAAGTAATGTAAAATCAGTCTGGAAAGGTAGGCCAGACTGAGGTAAAGGGATTTAACTGTTAAGCTGAGGGGTTTGTATTTTTTTTTCCTAGAGACAGTAGAGAGGCACTGAATATTCTTGAGTAAGAGAGTGACATGATGACATCTACTTGTGCTTTAGAAAGCTTTTGTAGCAGCTATGAGAAAGATAGATTAGATGTCAGAGACACTAGAACATCCATTCGAAAGCTTTTTAGAGTTGATTCAGGAAAAGAAACAGAAATGGAAGAGTCAAGTGAGAGGAGAACCAGAAGAAAACAATGACAGTGAAAGTTTAGGAAGGAGAGAGAGCTATCGGCAGTGGTAAAAGCTGCAGAGATGGGGAGAAGAATGGGGACTGAGAAAAGATTTAGCAAATAAGAGGTTGTTAGTAACCTGGGAGAGAACAGTTATAATCATGTGATAGTTTGGAAGTCAACTTTCAGGGGGGTTGAGGAGATAAGGATGTGGAGGCAGTGAGTATATACAGCTCTTTCTAGGAGTTTGCTGTTAAAAGGAGGAAAGATATAGCACAATACCTTGATGGGAATATCAGGATCAAGTGAGGACTCTTTTGGAGATTTGGGCATGTTCATACATAGCAAGGAAACAACTAGTAAATAAGAAGAGATTGAAGATAAGACAAGGAATGATTGATGGGGTAAGCAACCGGAGATGCTCAGGCATCGATGTCAAATGCAATAAGCAAAGCACGTGGCCTTGGCAAGAAGACTTCCTCAAAGACTAGACTCAAGAAGGAGAGTGTGAGGAGTGCTATTGAGAGGTTTTAAGGTCAAGATTAGGAGAGAACTTACAACTAACCCATCCTCTATTTTCTTAGTGAAGTAAGAAGGACCCAGGTGAAGTCATTTGTAGTGGACTAGTTAACATGATTTTGTGACTACTTCCAGTGACATTCAAAGGCGTATAAGAATGGGAATGGAGGAGACATGTGGTAGGGATAACCTCTAGTGTCTGAGTTTAGCAAGGCATGAGTGACAGTAGGACAAAGGAGCAATAGATTCAAGGGTAGATGACGTATAACTTTAGTTGGCTCGATAGTGATTAACTTTAGAGTTTAGGCTTTGAAGGGTGGAAAGTGAGGCTGGTTCAGGGTAGATAGAGTAGGAGGGTGGCATACTTGGAGGCTTTCAGTGAAGGTAAAGCATAGGATTAGCAGGAGTGAGGCATATGGAAGATGGAGGGATAGGAAGTTGTGATCCATTGTGATCCAAAAGAGGAATTTCATAGTACTGGATAATGGTGATAGAGAACTTACAGGCATAACCATTCCTGTGTGTGGCCAAGATAAAATGAAGGAACCCGTGACCTAAAGGATCTTAGGAGTTGAAGAAGCTAATCAACTAAGAAACCCAGATATTTGATGGAGATCAGATATGTATATTGAAATCTCCAGGTGGGAACAAAGCTCGAGAGGGGGGGAGGATTGAAGGCCAGGTACTCCTTGAGAAAATAGGAAAGTCAAAGACAGAAAAAACAAAAAGGAAAAAGATCTATATGTACAAAAATATTTATATCTCCTCTTTTAGTGGTGGCAAAGAATTGGAAATTGAAGGGATGTCCATCAATTGGGGAATGGCTGAACAAGTTGTTGTATATGATTATGATAGAATACTTTTGTGCTGTAAGAAATGACAGGCAGAATGTTCTCAGAAAAAAACCTGGACTTACATGAACTGATGCAAAGTGAAGTGAGCAGAACCAGGAGAACATTGTACACACTAACAGCAATATTATGTGATGATCAGCTGTAAACAACTTATTTATCTTAGCAATACAGTGATCCAAGATAATTCTGAAGGACTTATGATGAAAGGTGCTATCCATCTCCAGAGAAAGAATTGATGGAGCCTCAATGCCAGTAGAAGATGCTTTTTCTTTATTTTTCTTGGATTTTTTTTTTTGGTCTGTGTTTTCTTTCACAGTATGACTTCCATGGAAATGTGTTTTGCGTGACTACACACGTATAACCTATATCAAATTGCTTATCTAGGGGGCAGGAGGAGTTGAGGGGAAGAAAATTTGGAACTCAGAATTTGAAAAAAAAAATTGTTAAAATTGTTTTTGCATTTAATTGGGGGAAAATATAATATCAAATTATTTAAAAGAAAAGAAAATAGGAGAAATGGCTTGGGGGCCAGTAGATGACTACAACAGCAACATGGATAGTGTTGATATAGATGAATGGAGTAAACCTCTCTGGAAGAGACATTACCGAGAGAGAGCCGCTGAGGAAACTACTTTAGGTCTGGAAAGAACACTGAGGACCAGGAAGTATGCCTGTCATTCCTCTGGCCTAGTATGGCAGGAGGCTTGAAAGAAAAATGAAATAGGGGTCTAAGGGAAGTCAGGTTTCTATGAATGAAAGAAGATAGGCAGAGTATTAGAGAGCTAAAATAAAGAGAAATTTGTTGATAATAACTTGGGAGGTTCCAGAGGGCATAGTAGTTTGGGAAGGAAGATCAGAATGGGGACCCAAGAGTAGGGCTAAAGGAAGTGAGGAAGGAAAGAGCAGGGAACGTTGAGGGTCTGTATTTTCATCTAGGCATCTGACAATTCTGAATCAGATTATAAGAGGAGCAAGTAGGATATTTGGCAGCCATATGATAGAGATGTGTAATACCTTTTGATAGCCATTGGGATGGCTATGTCAGTTCACTCCTAAGCACCAAAGAAAAAGAGAAATGGGGTCCAGCATCTATATGTATAGATACCAAATGAACAGGTTCCTAGGGGCCTAGCTCAACTTATATTTAGTGCTAGCATAGCATGATTATCCTCATTTTGGAGGCATTTTGAGTTATTACTAGAAGCTAGACATAGGCGTATTATTTCCTATCTGATTTCCCATCATGGCTAGTAACCATCCTCTAGAAATAGCGGGCTTAAAATAGAAATACCATTTTTTGAAATGAAGTAGCAAGATATGGTTACACTACTGCAGCTTTGGGACCAGCTGAGCTGACACCAAAACCAGTGACCTACCCTGGCTCCTAAAAGCTTCCCAGCACCCCATTAAGACGTTTCATTTGTTACATCAAAGTTTCGTTCATTCAACGACTCTTATGTCATTGTACTACATAAAAAGCATTATACTAGGGGCCAAGGAAGATACCAGGATAAGCTCCTCTTGGAGCTTATATAATCCTGACCCACAGTCAGCACTTAGAATTTTCTCCTCTCCTCAGTAGTAGTAACTAATTCATCAACTCTCTCTCCCTTCTGGTTTCCCTCTGGACTTACATTACCTATTTGAAGAATGACTGGTTAAGATCAAAGGTATAGTCTGTGGCCATGGAGCTGTGAGCCTTGTATTTCTTACGTGTATTGGTAGTATACATATACAGATATTAATATAAGGTAGCTGGTTGTCAGAGTGGATAGAAAGTTGGCCTCACCCTCAGAGAGACTCAGGTTCAGATCCCAAATCTTTGTTACGTCTGGCTGTGTGACCTTTGGTAAGTCACTTCTTAGTCTCCAAGGCACCCTTTAAGGCTATAATCTGCCAAGAGGATGTCTGTTGGTATCGATAGAGGGGGTTTTCTTATTGGAAAGTGCTAAACTCGGGGCCAGTAAGACCTAAGTACAAACCCTGCCTCAGGTACTTCCTAGTAAGTCACTGAACCTCTCTGCCTAGGAGGCAGCTACGTGGTACAAGTGGATAGAGAATTAGACCTGGAGTCAGAAAGACCTGAATTCAGATGTGGCCTTTAGCTTACTTAGCTGTGTGACCTTGGCCAAGTCACTTACTTTCATGCCTTGGTTTCCTCAATTGTAAAATGGAGATAATAGCATCTACCAAATGAAGTAATATTTATAAAGTGCTTAGCATAGTGCCTGGCACAGAGTAAGTCTTAATAAATGTTTGTTCCCTCCCTTTTCCCTCCCAGCATCAGTTTCCTCATCTGTAAAATGTGTATTTGTTTGTTTGTTTGCTTGCTTTTTGGTGAGGCTATCGGGGTTAAGTGACTTGCTCAGGGTCACACAGCTAGTAAATGCCAAGCGTCTGAGGTCAGATTTGAACTCAGGTCCTCCTGACTCCAAGGCTGGAGTTCTATCCATTGCGCCACCAATGAGTATTTATAATAACATCTATTTCACAGGATTGTTGTGAAGGCCAAGTGAGATAATATATGTAAAACTTCATAAGCCTTAAAATGCTGAAGAGATTATTATTAACATGATAAAATTAAACATTCTTTTTAATGGTATACATAATGTTAAGAAATATTTATCAGTTAAAAATTCTGTTATGTTTGCCTGAGAATTTGTAATTGAATGCTGAATTGTAGGCTTTCTATTCTGAAGAATTTTGTAATGTATAGAAGGGGTTTGGGTGGGCTGGGGGGTGGTTTCACTGGTTCTGGGCACTCCAAATGAGGAAATTCCCTCTCCCATCAATGCAGATCGCCAGCTTAGAAAGACTTGAAGAGTTGTCTGGGACCATGAGAGTTTAAGTGCTTTGCCAAGGGTCACAGGCCAGTGTGTCTCAGGACTCTAACCCAGACCTTTCTTGGTCTTATGCCAGCTCTCTATCCAATTTGGAGCACTCCTTCCAAATATAAAGTTAAGGATGAAAAATTATTCTCCCTTTCTACAAAGCTGACATTGGATTATTGGATAACATTAAAGCCTAGGTACCATCATTTGACTTGAGAATAAACACAGTGACTATTCATATGTGCAATCTGATCCTTGTAATTGTGGAAGTTATTTAAGGACATTCAGTACTATCTCTATTAGAAATTGTAATCTAATAAAGGAAATAAGATAAATATGTTGGAAAGATAAGTTACTGTCATTTACCACTGGCTATTAGTAACAAATAAACAATTTGACCATTATGTTCTCTAGGAGTTTAGAGGAAAGAAAGGTACCTCCTAACTGGTGTCATGGGAAGACTTGAGAGAGAAGTAGAATTTGAGAGATTTTTAAGAATAGGTTCGATTTGGTTAGGTGAAGAAGGGACCAAGGAGGGAAAATAGTAAAGAGGTACAAAAAAAAACAAAACACAAAACCTCAAAGCATATTCAGTAAGTAAGGAATAGACTGATTTGGCTGGAGTGGAGGATTCGTATATGCGAGTCATAGAAGATTAAGCTAGAAGAGTTTATTTTTATAGAAAACCATATAGTGTTAGTTATACTGTAAAGGTGCAGTCTTAAATTGCTTAGTGGTAAATTTTAGTTTTCGTCATATCTACAGACCATTACAGTGTAACTTTCCATGATAATTTGTTTCATGATTTAAGTATGTACTGTAAATTTTGAAGTCAGGGATTCTCGTCATGCTCCTCAAGCTAAAATAATTTTGGTTTATGTTGCTTTCTTTTTCCCCAGTTACTTACACGCCAAGTCAATCATCCACAGAGACCTCAAGAGTAATAGTATCCTTTCAGAAATGTGACTGCAGGGGGCAGCTAGGTGTCGCAGTGGATAGAGCACCGGCCCTGAAGTCAGGAGGACCTGAGTTCAAATCCGGCCTCAGACCAAACACTCTACACTTACTAGCTGTGTGACTCTGGGCAAGTCACTTAACCCCAGTTGCCTAAAAAAAACAAAAAACAGAAGTGTGACTGCAGAATATAAAAACAACTTGCCTTTTTCTGTTATAGAATTTCCTCCGTTTGCATGTTAAATTTCATAATACTAAAGTGAAAGGTATCGACTGGGATCCAGCCATGACTCTGACTTTGAGAAACTTGGGTTCTCTGAATGAGCAAGCACAAGGGTGCATCTGCCGAGGCTCTCTGACAGCCGCCTTTTATTCGTGTTTCACCAGGAAGTTACTGGGAGGTGGCTTCTAGGACTTTAAGGTCCCTCTCGGCCTGCTCAGTGACAGCCCGCCGTTATAAAGTTACATAATACGTGAAGCGGGGCAATAGAAAGGAAGCACAGCTGTTTACCCTCGTCTTCCCTCAACAGTAGCCCTTTTGAGTCTGTCACCTCACCTTCCGGTACTGCTGCAACGCCTCTAAGTGGCAGGCGTTTCTGACCAGAGTCGTCATCCCGCCAACCTTAGTAGCTCTTCTGGGATGCTTGTAGGTCTTCCAAAAAAACCCGAGGGTGGCTTCTTGCCTGCTCGTTCCTGGTGTTGAGAATATGGGACTTGCGAGTGGGTCGTGTAGTTTTAAATAGGACTTAAGATTTTTAAAACAAACTCGGTAACAAGAAAAGTCATAAAAAGTGATGCTTGTTTAAAAACTATACCTGTTATATTCGCAGAGTTACAGAAATTAGATTCCTTCCATCTACAACTTTTTGTGGTGTTTGTACTGTTAAAGATTTAGATGTTATTCTTCTTTTACTTACTACACCTCAGATATATTTCTTCATGAAGACCTCACAGTAAAAATAGGGGATTTTGGTCTGGCTACAGTAAAATCTCGGTGGAGTGGCTCCCATCAGTTTGAACAGTTGTCTGGATCTATCTTGTGGATGGTAAGAACGGAGGCTGTTTCTTCATTATAAGATTTATTTTTTTGCTTATTAAGGCTGTCACTGCCACACTAAAAAGTACTGTTTTTATAATTCTCATGAATGGCACAGAGGGTAATGGAGAGACTGATGATCCATCTAAGCAGGCTGCAGTGAAGTGGTGCCTTGTTGTGATGAAGCTATAGGAGGATACTGCCCAGATTTACACCAGATGGCTGGGGGGGGTGGTGGTGACAGCTCTGGATAGGTCAAAATCTGCATAACTGTGGGAACATCCATTCTGATAAGATTACAAATACAATCAAGTATTTAAGTTTCACTCTTTTGACACATTTTGTAAAAGAAATCAATTATTAGCTGGATTTCAGACCAGAAATATGCTCTTTATAATATGTTAATTCAAATATTAGCACATATATCTAAAATGAGACCTTTGACAAGGAAGAAAAATAGGCATACACTGAAAAAATCGTTATTTAAAATTACCATATTAAATTTACCATATTAAAACATCTCCCACAAAACAGCTTGAGTTTTTTGTTTTTGTTTGTCTTTTTGTTTATTTTACACGTTTCTTTTGAAAGAGAATTCAGAGTAGTAAAGTCGGTATAAAGGGACTCATAATATGGGAATCCCCTTCACTTACGCTGATATTAGCAGCTCATCTATAACTTAGAGTATTAGAGAGTTGTCTTGAGGACACTGAGAAGTTAAATCACTTGTCCATGGTCACAATATATGTAAAAAGTCCTCATTACTTTTATTGTCATTCTCTCACTAAGAGTGTCATGTTGGGGCAGCAAGGAGGCCCACACTAGATAGAGCACTGGTCCTGGAGTCAGGAGGACCTGAGTTCAAATCTGGCCTCTGACGCTTGACACTTAACTAGCTGTATGACCCTGGGCAAGTCACTTAACCTCTGATTGCCCTAAAAAAATAGAGAGAGTGCCATGTTACATTTGGACCAGTGTGACAGTTTGGTCGAGGTGATTAAGACACTTATTATAAGTAGTTGGTAGTGGTGTTTTGAATGTGAGAACAGTATCAAAGGTGGGCAAAAATCAGTATCTTGAGCCCTGAAATTCTGAGGCTCAAGTTATAAAAGCAGAGCAAATGTCATAGATGTACTTTTGCATTTGATCAATTTGAACTGGTAATAGCCAGAGGCAAATTAGGAGATGTTTCAAGCTTGTCTTTTCTAGTTTATGTAGTTAAATACTCATTGTCATTCATTTACTGGTATGATAACTTAGGGGCTTATCTCTACTTCCATTAGACTGTTTTTAGATCAAAGAGAGATCCAATGGTAGACTTTATTACCTAGAGCTATCTTTCTATGAGTTGACACTGCTTTCAGTATTAAATATTTCTAGAGCAGTCACAAACTAGACCAGAGTTTGGCCAGAAATAGGGCCCTACAGATTTTGTTTTCCTTTAATTTTATAGAATATAAGGACATTATATTTCCTCCTCTGGTAGGAGGAAAAAAATTGCCTGAATTTAAGTGTCCTCAGATTTTATTTCTTGTTAATATATAGTTAGTTCCAGTGAGAGACCCTTTCTTGCTAGCAGTAGAGATCCAAATCATATTCAGAATGGAATTATTCTTTGTCTTAACATTCAGCATTCCTTTATTCAAATGTCTCTCACATCCCACTGCATTTCAGATGAGGTACTCTGTAATAGTCTTCTGTCTCTAGGTTAGACAACTTTCCCTAGAATTTTCTAATTCAAGTAAAATAATTTGTTTCATTTTAGGACAAAGTTCTTAATCTAACCTACCATTCTTTCCTTCAAAAAATTAAAATTAACAATCAAAAAGCATTGAAAAGCTCAAGATTAGAGGCAGCAGCCCAGCTGAACTATTTCAACATTTCTCTCCAAACAACTTTAAAATAGGGCCTCAAATCAAATTTTGGAGTGATAGAGCCAACAAAAGGTCAAGGTGAGACATGTTCCCAGCCTAAAAAAACTTAGGAGGTTGACAGAAGTCTGTGACACCAGGGTAAAGGCCAGTGTGGAGTACACACAGTAGCTAACAGCACCAGCAGCAGGCCTTGGATGTGTCTGTAACAGCAGCAGTTTCAGGAGCTCTCAGCCCAGAGATGTTCTGAGTTGTCGTGCCAGGGCAGAGAGGAGGGTTTGTGATCGAGGGAGCAGGGGTCCGGTTTCAGTTCCAGAGCAGAGAAGAGCACTGGCACTTGTGGCTGCAGAAGAGCAGGAGAACTGGTACAAGTCCAGGTCCAAGAAGAGCTCTAGTGCTTATGGCTGCAAGGAAGCAGGGACCCTTCCTGGGGAAAGACCACAGCAGTGACCACCTCTCTCCCCAGATCACACCACTGAAAATTTGCAGACCTCAGAACTAGCTCTGAAAATAGCAGCACAAAAACCTGAAGCTTGGGACAAGGCCTCCCCACCCCCAAGTAAACAGAGGCCAACTTTAACAACAGTTCAAAGTCAAGAAATAGCTTGGAAAAATGGGCAAGCAACAGAAAAATAACTTGACTATAAAAAGCTACTTAGGTGGCAGGGAAGACCAAGACATAAACTTAAAAGACAACAATGTGAAAACAGCTACAAGCAAAGCCTTAAAGAAAAATGCTAATTGGACCAAAGGTCAACAAGAATTTCTGGGAGAGCTAAAACTAGTAGAAGAAAAAGTGGGAAAAGAAATGAGAGTGATACAAGAAAAATTATGGGGGAAAAAAAAGACTTAACAGATTGGTAAATAAAAGAGGCACCAAAAAATATTGAAGAAAATAACACCTTAAAAAACTGTAGTTGGCCTAATGGTAAAAAAGGCACAAAAATTCACTGAAGAAAAGAATTCCTTGAAAAGCAGAATTAGCCAGATGGAAAAAGTGGTATAAAATCTCACTGAAGAAAAGAATTTCTTAAAAATTAAAATTGGGCAAGTGGAAGCTAATGACTCCATGAAGCATCAAGAAACAAAGTCAAAAGAATGAAAAAAATAGAAGATATGAAATATCTCATTATAAAAACAACTGACCTAGAAAATAGATCAAAGCAAGATAATTTAAGAATTATTGGATTACCTAAAAGCTATGATCAGAGAAAGAGTCTAGACATCTTTCAAGAAATTCTAAAGGAAAAGTGCCCCAGTATCTTAGGTCTTGAGAGTAAAATAGAAATTTAAAGAATCCACCAAGTCACCTCCTAAAAGAGATCCCAAAAGGGAAACTCTCAGGGATTATCCAAATTCCAGAGCTCCCAGGTCAAGGAGAAAATATTATAAGCAGCCAGAAAGAAACAATTCAGGTATCATGAAGCCATAGTAAGGATCACACAAAATTTAGCAGCTTCCATATTAAAGGAACAGAGGGCTTGGGATTCCCAAGGGCAAAGGAGCTAGGATTGCAACCAAGAATCACCTACCCAGCAAAACTGGGTATAATCCTTCTTGGGGGGAAAATGGTTATTTAATGAAATAGAGGATTTCCAAGCATTCCTGATAAAAAAGACCAGAGCTCAATAGAAAATGTAACATTGAAACACAAGGCTCAGGAGAAGCATTAAAAGGTAAACATGAAAGAGAGATCATAAAGGATTAAGTAAGGTTAAATTGCTTACATTCCTACATGGGAAGATGACACTTGTAACTCCTAAGAACTTTATCATTATTAAGGCAGCTGGAAGGAGTCTACATACACAGAGGGCATGGATGTGACTCAGTTATGTTGGGATGATCTCCAAAAAAATAAAGAAGAAGGGGTAAGAAAGAGGAATGCACTGGGAGAAGGGGGAAGGGAGAGAGAATGGGGAAAATTTTCTCACTTAAAGGAGACATACAAGGAAGAGTTTTTACAATGGAGAGTAAAATAGGGGGGTAATGGGCAATACTAAACCTCACTTTCATCAGAATTGGCTGAAAGAGGGAAGAAAAAATATATACATACATATGTATGTATGTGTGTATATGAATATATCTATATATGTATATATACGCATTTAGTTGTGTATAGAAATCTGTCTTATCTAGTAAGGAAACAGGAGGGGAAGGGGATAATAGAAAAGGGGAGAGGGAATGATAAAAGAGAGGGTGAATTAAGAGAAGCAGTGATCAGAAGCAAAACTGACTTTTGAGGAAGGACAGAATAAAAACAGAAGAATAAACAGAAGAAAATGGGATGGAGGGAAATACTCAATTAGTAGTCATAACTGTGAAAGCGAATGGGATGAACTCACCCATAAAACAAGCAGGTAGCATAATGGATTAGAAATTAGAATCCAGCAATATGTTGTTTACAAAAGATGCAGGTAAAGTGAGAAGGTCATTGTGCACAGTAACAACAAAGATCAACTGTATGAAAGACTTAGCTACTCTGAACAATACCATGATCCAAGACAGTTTTAAAGGACTTATGATGAAAACGTGCTGTCTACCTCCATAGAGAGAGAAATGATGAACTCTTGAGTACAAATTGAAGTATAATTTTCTCACTTCCTTAATTGTTCTTGCTCTTTTTGCCATATGGCTAATGGAAATACGTTTTGCAGGATTTCACATGTATAATTGATATCTTATTGCTTGCCTTTTCAGTGAATAGGGGAAGGGTGTGAGGGAAGGAGAGAATTTGGAACTCTAATTTTTTTTAAATTGTTGTTCATGTCACAGCCAGCGTTGAATATTCTGCTGTTGCTATTGAATCAGAGCTACATGTGGATCATGTCATCTTATACTTGGATCTGGATGAAGAAATAAAAAGAAATGCTATACAGAAAAAAAAAGGATTCTTTTTTCTTTTACCTTTTACTTACAAAGTCACTAGGTCTCTCTAGCTACAGAAGCATAAGCTAATAGCATATGCAATTATTCATCTCTTTTTACTTTCATCATCTGTGTCATCTCCTTAGGACCATTTCTTCATTTCTCAATAACTCACAAGGCCAATGAATGGTGGAATAATTCTTAAGTCCCTGAGAAAATAAAAGGCGGATTTTCATGGTGTAATTATTTCCCAGACCAGGAAGCTCTCTTAACTATGAGTGATTGACACCTAGTTTCTCTTTGCCCCTTAGATGCTATCTGAAATTTAAAACGGCAGAGGTGCCTTGTAATCCATGGCAGGTCCATATCATATGTTTTTGAAACTATGCATCCAATTTAAGAGCTGTCATTCCATACTTTATAATGGTTTCTGGCCTTCTGGAAAAAATATAAACATGTATACACACATATTATTTTATGTATATACAGATATAATAAAATGGATGAATGAATGGAAGGATAGCTGGATATGCAAAAACAAACAGGTATAATATTTTCTTCTCTTCCCCTTAGCCCTTCACACTCTTTGTCACAACATGAATGTTGTCTTGAAACTCTTCCATTTGGAAAAATCCAAAGGAAAGATCCTAGTACTTTCCTATAACAACCTCTCCCAGGACAGTGTGCCCTACTTTGCCTCTGTGCCTTTCTGCAAATCTCTTTGCCCTGGCTGCTGTGGAGTTTATATTCCTTCTCATGATCACTTGAATGTCTTCAAAATGAGCCGTTAAAATTTGGCATCATCACTAGGTCCTTGTAATAAAGGCTAAATAAAGCATGAAGGAAAGGATGCAGCATTTGATCAAGTATTTACTTTAAGTTCGTTGTAGAAAGATGTTCATGCACTTACTTGAGCACTGTTGATTGAGATCTAAACAGTCAATCAGCAAACATTTATTAAGTCCTTCCTGTTTGCCAAGCACTGTGCCAGGTGCTGGGGATGCAAAGGCAAAAATGAAGCAAGCCCCGCCTTGAGGAGCTTGCATTCTTTTGTGAGAGCTGTAATTTATAATGAGCTAAAGCTAGTGATGAACACAAATGTAAACAAAAAAGTTTGTAGTAGCTCTCCAAGAGGAGGAGAATGAAAAAAGGGAGATGACTGCAATCAGGGTGGATGGCCGGAACTATTCAACTCCAATTTTGTTTCTGTTCCCTTGTCCAAGAAGGAAACTCTTTGAACTAGGAAGGATAGAATACAAGGGTAAAAACAAAGATAAGAAGAGATGGTAAGAGAATCCCCAGCTGCCTTCATTGAGTTGGAGTCACCAGTGCTAGATGAGCTACATCCTAAGATAATAACTTTTTAATTGGCAGATATGATCACAGAGCCACTGTCTTAGGGAATAGGAGAGGTGGCACAAGATTGAGGAAAGGGCAATATCCTGATTTTCAAAAAAAGGAAGTGGGTAGAGTCTGCAAATCATAGGGCAAAGAACTTAACTAGGTTTCAGACAAAATTCTAAAACATATTATTAAAGGAATGTACTTAGAAATGGAAGAAGTGATCGCTAATAATCAATATAACTTCATCAAGAACAGGTCGTGCCAGATCAACCCTCATTTCATTTTTCGATAGGTAAATAGACTGGTAAATCAGGGGAATACTGAAGACACATAACATACTTAGACTTCATCAAAACGTTTTAAAGATTCTTGTATCTTTGTGGAAGAGATGGAGACATAAAAACTGAGCAATAATGTAGGTAGGTGGATTTTTAAGTAGTTGAATGACTAGACCAAAAGAGTTGTCATTAATGGGTCACCTTAGGAGGAGGTCTTTAGTGGAGTGCCCCAGGGGTCTGTCTGTGGCTCCTTGCTGTTTCAGCATTTTTATCATTAACTTGCATGAAGCCATAGACGGTATGCCTATCCAGTTCACAAATTACATGAAGCTTGTAGGGCTATTAAACACATTCCCGATCCAGAAAGATCTTAACAGGCTTAAATAATAAGCCAAATTTAGAAAGATTAGATTTGATAGGGACAAATCTATAATTCTACATTCGGCTACCAAGGATCAAATTTACAAATACAAGTTGATATAGGCATAGTTAAAGTATAATCTCTGTTGAAAAGGTCTCAGTTTTTGTAGCTGGCTTACAAGTTCAGTGAGTCAGCAGCATGACATGATAAGCAGAGAAGCAAAATGAGCTGTTGGGTTGGCATAGTTTCAGAGAAGAGGGAGGTCCCTGTACTTTGCCCTGTTTAGACCACATCTAAGACACTGTGCTGAGTTCTGGGCATTGCATGTTTTAGGGATGATGCAAATGGGCTTAAGGAACTAGCAGCATATAACCTGAAGAAGAGACTACTCAGTAAACATGACAACCATCTTTAGGGCTTTAAAGTTGGGGTCCTTAACCTAGGGTGAACTTTTAAAATATTTTTGTAGCTGTTTCAATATATTTTGCTTCCTTTGTAATTGCATACTTTTCATACATTTAAAAGCTTGTTCTGGGAAGGTCCATAGGCTTTACCAGACTGCCATGGAAGTTCATGTCATACACAAACGGTTAAGAGCCCCTCATTTAAAGAGATGTTGTGTGGAAGAGGGATTACACTTGCTTTGCTTGGTCCCAGAGACAGAATTAGGAACAATGGAGAAAAGTAACAGAAAGCCAGAATTAGGTTGGATACAAAGAAAATTTTCCAAAGTGGAATTGACTACCTTGGAAATAATGAGTTCTTAAGAGGTCTTCAAGGAAAGGCTGAATTATACTGCTTGTTGAGGATTTTGTAGAAGAAACCTTCGGTCAAGTCTATGTGAAAATAAGTGGTTTCTAAGGGCTCTTCTCACTCTCCACTTGGGGGATTGTTGTACGCGAATCATAAGCTGCCACTCATTCAAGCCTGCTCTATGAGATCTCTCCATTGCCCTCTAGGTCACCTAGAATTTTGATTCCTTGGAGATTGTAATGTTCTAGGATTCACACATAACAGTGGCACCAGGACAATAATGACTTTTTTTTTCTTTTTAGGCAGATGGAGTTAAGAGACTTGCCCAGGGTCACACAGCTAGTGTTAAGTGTTTGGTCTGAGGCTGGATTTGAACTCAGGTCCTCCTGACTTCAGGGCCGGTGCTCTATCCACTGTGCCACTTAGCTGCCCCCCGCCCCCCCCCCATAGTGACTTTTCAAAGAAAGGTTTTGGTTTCTGGGAGCAGTTGAAGATCGTGAAAGAGTTGCATTGATATCCCAAATGAAATCGACCCTGTTTATACATTTGCCATATTGTGAAAATAAGCCAACAAACTCTGAATCAAGTTTTTTACAACCCTTCCCAGTATTTCTTAGTTCTCTTTCCTCTTTTCCAATTTATTTTTCTCATTGCTTAGGCTACTAAAGAAGTGATTATTATGTTTATACCATGGGAGTCAAGTACTGTTTGTTTTTACAGGGTCTAATCTTGCTGGAAGGTATATGAGAAGACAATGAAGTGAAGGATAAACTATTTCTTTTTTCTTTTTATGTTCTCACAGGCACCAGAGGTCATTAGAATGCAAGATAAAAACCCATATAGCTTTCAATCAGATGTATATGCGTTTGGGATTGTTCTGTATGAGTTGATGACGGGACAATTACCTTACTCAAACATCAACAACAGGGACCAGGTAAATTGTCAGTGTAATTTGGGGTTTGTTTTACTGTTTATAGAAAGATTCATATAGGTTGTAATGAAAAGATTCTGCACATAGAATATTTAAGTACATGAAACACATAGAATATTTAAGTACATGAAATGATCTTCTAGCACTTTTTTCCACCTGTTTTTGGAGGTTATGTGAAATTTGGACATTAGTATCACTGTTTATTGTCTTTCATTGAACAAAATTAAAATATTTGATAAATTAACAAATAATTGATAAATTTGAATTGATATTCAAAACCACCCACTTCTAAGAAGCCCTAGTGAAATACTACACTCAGACAGAACCTAAAAAAAAAATTGGCATTCTTGAAATCTCCTATCCATTGAAATGTTTTTTAAAAAAAAATCAGCTCTACACTCTTACCATCTAGGCTTTAATGTCTTTCCAACTCTGTTGCAGATCTTATATAATGAAAATATATTGATTGTAGTAATTCCTTTATGCATGATTTTCTTGAATGATTTGATGCTTCTTCATAGGCACTTTCGTTTTTTAGAAGTTGAGAACGTAGGAAAAAAACATGTCATTCTTCTCTAGTTAGGATGCTACAAATGTCAGATTTCCCTATACCACTAATTCCCATCTTTTGCTTCTTCTTCTCTTGTTTCTTATCACCTTAATATATAACTTCTCCCTTCTCTCTCCCCCCCCAAAAAAACCAAAAAATGAATTTGTTACAGATCTGTTTCTTAGTAGACTGAAACTGAATTAAACTTAGAGGATAGAGAAAATAAGTTAACATTAATAAAAACTGCCTCACATTACAGCACCGTAGCTCAAGATTTCAGCAGTTACCCCTTACCTACAAATGTTATGTAACTATGAAGAAAAATCGTTAAATACCTAAGCCTGCCACAAGAGAATAATCCCTCACCTTCATCTTATACCCAGAGTATAAGGGTTTGTGTTTTGACTTTTTCAGTTTTATCTGTCTTCCATCCCAACATCCTAGTTTTGTTGTTCATTACATTTTCCAGTATAGATTATTATGTCTGTCAAGGCATTTTAGTGGAAGCTATTCAAGTAATGTGTGATATTGGCTGTTGGGGTTTTTTTTTAACTATTCATGTTTCTATTTCTCAGTGTTTTAATTTGTGGTATCTATTAGTAGCTGAGACTCCCTAGGAAGTATAACCCCTGTGCTGTATATGATAGATATTTATTATTATTGTGTTTTCACTTCTGTATTTATTGATATGCTTCACATTAAGTTTCTTACTGAATCAACAGATAGCTTTACATGGATCTTAAGTCAGTATTTTAAATTTTAAAATGGGTATACTCCTGTCCAGTTTAATGCAGTATTAATTTTAGGCTGTTAGCCTATTCTACTATATTCTATACTATATTCTACTAAATTCTCTGACCTTGGTTTGGGGTTTTAAGTCAGATGACATGGGTACTTAATGTTTTAAAGCAAATGTAATTGATAGGTGAGGTATATCAAAAATAAGAATGAAAAAACAAATGAGTTGTTGTTTATTACATATTTAACACAGATTTAGGCCATTGCAAGCATGCTATCATTTTGTTAGTTTGAGTTTAAAAAAAAGAGAGGTCCACTAACAAAATTGTGGTGTACATCCTTATGTTATCCCATTTTTTAATCTTCCTATTTGACTTGATAATACAACACCCTATGACATATTCTCTTTATATCTCCCTGTTGTATTTCTGGAGAAATTGCTAGGGCTTCCAGTGTAACGTTTATTCATTTATGTTCATAATACAAATTAGCGTAGATTCATGGGCTCAAGTGTCTTTTTAAAAAAATCCAGTGATCACTTGAGGAGAACTCTACAGTGTGGGAAAAAAGTTATCCTTGAGTAATCTTGCTGTAAGTGGTGATTTCTCACTATCTTGGAGATCAGGGAATATTCTTATCCCCATGAGCATATATGATTTGATGTGGAAGGGTATCAGGCTTCAACCCTAAGGTCATTTTTTCAGTTGGAGCTGAGGTTAATAGATGGGAATGAGAGGAAACGTCTCTCCCTTAATGCCCATCCTAAACTTTGTAAGGAGGAAGCTGGGGTGAGTCTTTACTGCCCGTTTCTAATCCCTAACTGGTCATTCTTCCCTTGCTTTTAGGAATAGCCTCCTTCCTCCTGGCAAGATCACAACTGGGTCTCCCCAAGGGAAGGCAAGATTCATTCTTCAGTATTCCTCCTCCACATCAGAGTTGTAGTTTCCCTCTGTTGATTATAAAAAGGGAACCATCTTTCCTAAAAACAAGTACCTTGTCTCCCTGGACCTCGTCCCTACTCCAGGATGTTTTCTCTTCTTTCATTGTGTCCACATGCCCTTTTCCCACTTTCTCTTGAGTAGTACTGCATTATGTTAGACTGGGACATGACAATACCTTTATTTACAATCCAGGTACATTGACTGTTGCCCCCATCATTGCTTTATCTCTTTTTCTATCCTCCCCTCTTCTAAATTGGTTTTAAAATTCCTGTTGCAAGAGAAGATGTCACAGGTGGTAAAGGATCCCATCCATTTGGAATGTGATTTCCTGCAAGGAAATCTGCAGGTCCTACCTAGCAAGAATTATTCTCTGGTTTTTACTTTTGGTGGTAAAGTATCTTTTTAACCATACAGTTACTTGGAGATAAAAGGGCATGCTTAGGATTTGTTTGTTTTTGTTTTAAAAAATTTGACCACCCTACAGCTACCTCCTCCCCATGTTCCCACCAAAACTTCTGCCGTCTATACAACATTAACCTTTTCTCCTTTCTCAAATGTCTTTATTCAAGTGGCTACTATGTGCAATTCATTGTGTATGTGGGCTTTAAATTACCCCCATCCAGTTGATATCATAGTGAGACATCATGAGAGCTCTTTTTAGTGAGATTCTACTTTCAGAGGCAGCTTAATGGCTCAGTAGATTGGAATCAGTAAGCCCTGAGTTAAAATCTAGCCTCAAATACTTACTTGTTTTGTGACCCTGAGCAAGTCATTTCAGCCTCGGTTTCCTCAGCTGCAAAATGGAGGTCATAATAGTATCTTCCACACAGGGTTGTTGTGAGGATCAAATGAGATAATATTTGTAAAGCACTTAGCGAAGTGCTGGCACATAGTAGGTGGTTAATAAATGCTTGTTTCCTTCCTTCCTTTTCTGAGATTTAGTCAGGATGGTAGAGGAAGGGGAAGCAGTTGAGCCTATCTCCTCACTATCTCTTCTGCACAAATAGAAAATGTACCAGATCACATTTGGGTCAGAAAAGCCAAGAAACAGTCAGTGAATCATTTTTCCAGCTTAGGAAGACAGAGGGAGAGAGAGAGGTCTGTGGACACTGAGGACAAGTGCAGAGGATTCCAGCTCACAGGGAGTGGAGGAGGGTCAAGACAACACCAAGGCAGAAAAAGATCCCAGGGGATCCCTGTACTAGCACTGGATGCAAATATGAGTGCCATCTGGCAGCTCTGGCAGCCACTACCTAGTTCTGAGTCACATAGATCCAGAGCAAAGAGGAGCAGTCATAACCATGGGCCCCAACTGTATAATAAGCAGTGACCAAGTTCTGGAAATGTAGCTGTGTGGTCCTGTAGTGACTGGGTTCTAGCTTTGAGTCCAGAACATAAGCCTACAGTAGAACATCCAAGGCAGGAGTGCCACACCGAGGGGGAGCCAATTCAGTCACTCTGAACTTGCAGTATGCTATCAGTCACACAAGCCAAAAGATCCAAACCTGATTAAGGAACTTGTAGAACTAAAATAAGGAAGGCAGTGAACAGACCTCTCCCTGTTTCACACATTTTGGGAGCATTAAAAACTTTAAAGGCCCCTGGATTGAGCTGTGAAAGCAGTAGAAGGATATGAAAGGACAGAAGCTCAGGCCAAATGTTTCCTCCAGAAGTGGATAGAGCCTAGCGCTAACATGTCCAAAGTCAAGAAGTAGACTTGGAAGAATGAGCAAACAGAAAAAGAATCCAACCATAAAGAGCTACTATAATGACAGGGAAGCTCAGGAAATAAACACAGAAGAGGAGAATGACTCAAAAACATCTACAAGCAAAGCCTCAATGAAAAATACAGCTTGTACACAAATCCAACAAGAATTACTAGAGGAGTTAAAAACAAGAATTTTTTTTAAAAGCTGATTTTTTTTTCAAATCATATGAGAGTAGTAGTGAAAAAAATGAGAACAGAAGCAAGAATTAGAGAAGAAAGATGAAAAGAGAATTAGCTGCTTGGAAAAAGAGATACAAAACAACAAAAAGAATGATTCATTGAAAAGTACAATTCACCAAATGTAAGATCCATGAGACATCCAGAAATAATAAAACAAAGTCAAAAGCCTTCATTCTTTCCCTTGCTCTTTCCTGTTACCATTTAACCATCCAAGAAACAAGTATTTCATAATAGTTTCAGACATTTATATATTTTTATAATTATAAAGCATTTCATATATATTATCTCATTTAGTCCTCACAACTCTGTGAGGTTAGTTAGTACATGGATTATCGTTTCCAGTTTACACTTGAAGAAATGGAGTTTTAGAAAAATGAACCCATCCTGTGGCATGTTCAGAGTGCACATAGGGTTATGTCCATAATCACAGTTGATTTATGGTGGAGACAGAATTTGAACCCAGGCCTTTGGACTTCCAAGTTGAGCATTCTTTCCATAGGTTCATAAAAATAGAGGTATCTGTAAATGACTCCCTCCTAGTTTAGGAGACACCATTCTACCAGGGTAAGACTTGACCTCAACTTTTTAAATCTGGACAGCTGGTGGAGTAGTAGACAGAGCACAAGAAGAACTGAGTTCACATTTGGCCTCAGACACTAACGAGCAGCGTGACCTTGGACAAGTCACTTAACTTCTCTTTGTCTCAGTTTCCTCAACTGTACAAAATAGATAATAATAGCACCTACATCCCAGGGTTGTTGGGAGGATCAAATGAAATAATTTTTGTGAAAAAGCTCTTCGAACCATTCCTGGCAGGCACATAGTTGGCACTATATATGAATGCTTATTTCCTTTCTTCCCTTCCCATTTCTAATCTGGTAACACTCAGACTTGTATTAAAGACTATCAGAGTGACCCTAGCAAATAAAGGGGCTACATCTCCTATTGCATGGTTAGAAGACAACTAGAAAGGAAGATACCCACTTCTTTTCCCTCTTGATAGAGGCTCTCAAGAGCTATCTCTGCATCTGAGACAAGTGGCAGAAATTTTCAGTGTAATGAGCCATAAATCCATACCTGGATGAAAACAGAAGATGGTACCAACAAAGGCAGGGGATCCAAAGGCCAAGCCACTTTCCCCCAAATTGAACTTTACTCTGTTTTTAAGAAGCACATTGGAATAGATGATGCACAGGACCTAACCAGACTTCAGGGTATTCAAATATTTCCCTCTCCTCCTTTGATCATGTTACTGTATTTTGTGTTTTATATATATAGTGTTCTCTATACTTCCAAAACTCCAGTCTGAATTCACAGATCAGTTTGTTAAGATGTGTGTCACTGCCGTTCTATCATTCCATATTGGAAAAGGAGCCCACTGATTGATTATGGTTAATTTCTCCCTTATGTAAAGGATTTCTCAAATTAGAAGTCCTATCAGTCTTATATTTGATTTTAACTCTGTTAGATTTTTGGAAAACAGAGCTTTTTCAATCACTGCCTTAGGTTCCTCTTCAAATTAGTATCTAACTTTTAAATCAACTGCAGCATAATAATCCTTTTTGTCACCCTGAATATCATTATTTCCTCAATATTGAAAGCTTGATTTCCATGCTGTAAAGGTAAGGCAGTCCATACATGTACACATACATACACACATACATATGGGGAGGTTGTGTGAGAAGCAGGCATTAGTCTTTACTGCTAGATTTTTGTCTTTGGCCAATAATCTGTTGGGCCATGCACCATCCAAAGAATTGTCCTATTTAATAAATAGATTGTATCCCTTCTTCTGTGAAAAAGCTGGTCTTTTTAAACCTGTTCTCTGAAATTCAGGGACAATTAAGCTATGGTAACAACATTAGGGTTGTTCCCCTGTTTAAATATGTAGAGTTATCTCCTAGTACTTACATAAATCAGTATTGCTTGGTCCTTGCCTCTCCCTGAGAATCTCAATTGGTTCTCATAGTTCTCCAGTGGCTGTTTTTATCTTGACCTTGTGAGACCTTTCATTAGTCTCTTAATCATTGTAGTAGCTGTTAAGGACTTTATCTTCTGTCTTTAAAGAAAAACAGTTACTGACCAATAGTATCTAAAGATGATCCATCCTAGCAGTGGCCACAAATTCTCTTCCTTTGCCCCATTAGAGGAGAGTACCTAGACTCTTTTTACATCTTGATCTTCAAATGGGATGTAGAGCTTAAGCAGTCATCGTAGGGACCAGAAGAGAGGCTCCTCCCACATCTACCTCAAATGAAGTATGATGATAACTTACAGGGCAGCTACATCATAAACCCTTTGAGAGTAAAGACTGTGGGTTACAATCACATGAAGCCCCTACAGTGCTTTGGGCATTCAGGTAATTGTTTGATTAAAAAGTCTTTTTTAAAAGCTTCAAGATCTTGAGACAGCATCACCTACTATAATAGCTGCCAGAGATGATACACATCTTTGGAGATATAAACTGACTGGTAGGTAACTGGACTTTCTTCACCTATCAGTATTCAAGTTTGTTTAAACTTTTATCTACAAGCTATATGATTTTGTGAATTTCCCCTCCTACCCCAGATAATTTTTATGGTGGGGCGAGGATACCTGTCTCCAGATCTCAGTAAGGTGCGGAGTAATTGTCCAAAAGCCATGAAGAGGTTAATGGCAGAGTGCCTGAAGAAGAAGAGAGATGAGAGGCCACTTTTTCCCCAGGTAAGAAAGACTTTGTGTTGACTGAAGGAATCTGGACTAGCATTGTGATGTATATAATATTTCTGTGTTCCTCCTCAGCTTTTAGTAATGTCAAACATTAAGATTTTTCTCAAGGTAAAGAGTGATATCCTTAGACATTTGGAGTTCACATAGAAAATTATCTGAAAGGCTCAATTTTATCTTTCACAAATTATAATATATATGTATATAATAGAAAGGTTGATACACACATACACACACATGTGCACACACACACATGCACACACGCATAAATATCAACTTTTCTATAACACAGAGTCCGTTTTCTTAAATGGCATTTCTACCTATGGAGAGAGAAAAGGGAAGCAGCTGGCCAAAAGGAGTCTCATTTTTAAAAAATTCTAAATTGCTTTCCGTTGCTTTTTGTGGTCAGCTAGTTGGTCAACCAACATTTATTTAGCGCTTCCACTTGCCAGGCACTATGCTAAATTCTAGGGATACCAAAAAATCCAAAAACTCAGTTCTGGCATCTTAATGAAGGAGACAGCATGCAGATAATGATGTACATGACTTTTGTACATATACAGTATAAACAAAAGGTAATCTCGAAGGGAAGACACTGGTAGTTGGAAGCACCAAGAACGGCCTCGTGCAGAAGATTGTCTGTGAGCAAGCCAAGCAATTAAGGAGGTCGAGATGAGGAGAAGGAGCATTCCACACATGAGGGGCAGCCAATGGAAATGCAGTCCGATGGTCAACAAAAATACAAAATACTTGAGTGTGAAGTCTGTGAAGGGGAGTAAACTTCAAGGAGACTGGAAAGATGTAAAGGAGTTTAAAAGACAAGTACTGGATTTTATATTTTATCCTAGAGGTGTTAAGGAGTGATAAGTGAAAGAAGAATTGTAGTGAGGAGAGACAGAAACCAGTAAGCTATTTCTATAGTCAGTCAACAAGCATTTATTTAGTGCCTGGCTCTGGGCTAAGCACTTGTAGGTACAAAAAAGGGCAAAAAACAGTCCCTTCTTTCAGGGAGCTCAGTTTGATGGGGAAGACAGCGTACAAACCCCTCTGTGCAAACAAGTCCAGGTGTGAGGTAGTGAGGGACTTCCCTGGTGGATAGCTCCATGAGTGGAGAGAAGATGAAACATGCAAGAGATGTTGTAAAGGTAGAAACAACAAGGCTTGTCAACAGATTGGACATGTTGGGTGAGTTCAGTGAGGCATGAGATGACACAGTTTCTGAGTGACTGGGAAAAAGGTGATGCCCTCGGCAGTAACAGAGAAATTAAGAAGAGAGCTTGCTTTCAAGGAGGGGAAAGAGAGAATGAATTTTGTTTCAGACGTGTTTAGTTTGAAATGGCTATGAGACCTCTAGTTGAAGATATCCAGAAAGCAGGTGATGCTGGACTTCATGTGTGTATGTGTATATGGTGAGTAGATAGATGTGATGTACATGCACATATATGTGTGTGCATGTGTGTGTGTATTAAGTTTATAACAGCCAAACTGAAAGATCACTGCTAAAAGTAATTTGGCTGGCATCCTGTGCTATATGCTTCTTCATGTACTAAGGCATATAATTTGTTTGTTGATTTACATTCAATTAAGCAAGCATTTATTAAAAGCTTCCTGTGTCTGAGGCATTCATTTGAACCCCAGAAATACAAAGACAAAAACAGAAGAATCATAAATGAGCATAGGCTCCTGGGCCCATTTTTTAATTTAGCTTAATATCTTGGTAGAGATATCTAATGATGTGTTACTGGATCTGAAATAACTACATAAGGACATTTTTTTATCTAAGTGAAACTTACTCCTTCACATTCTAAAACCTCTAAAAAAATCCTTTTTATGGAAACCTTTATAAAACATATTAAATAAGTAAGAGCATCAATGAAACATTAAGAAATGCACAGAAGAAAACAAAAAGTTCAGAAGGGACACAAATACGGCGTTTTCTTACTACATTGTTCGATTTAATATGCACTTTAAAAGAGAAACTAAGTAAGCTCATGAGTTCATACTGTCATTCTCTTGTCATTCTTTATACATTGAAAGATTTGGTGATTAAATTTGCAGTTAAAAAGAAAAATTATATTACATACTCCCTCATCTTCTTAAATAAATTTTACTAAACATAATTTAATTCATTGTCATCATTAGACTTAACTTAAGCCAGGAAGCTGGAGTCAGGAAGACCTAGGTTTAGATTTGTCCTCAGACACTCACACAGTGGTGTGACCTTGGGCAAGTCATCTACCTCAGTTTCTTCATATTGAAAATGGGAATGATGATAATGTTTACCTCACCTAGTTGTTGCAAGGATCACACAAGATAACATTTGTGAAACATTTAGCACAGTGCCTGGCATGTAGTAGGCACTGTATAAATGCTTGTCCCCGTCCCTTCATTATGTTCATCAACTACTGTCTTGTGCTGTAATAACGTAATAGGCATGTTGAGGTTTTTTGTTGTGTGCAGCTCTTTACCCTTGTATTCAGTGTTGCCATTTTGCTGGCTTTTTGGGGTAGGTTTCTGTGTATTCTCTTCTGTCCTGTTATTAGTTGTCTACGTCTCATTGCTGTTACGGTGCCTCCCCTAGCAGCCTCCTCCCGCCCTTCCCCTTCTAAATGGCTTCTTTTTCATCTGCTGTGGGCTAGGAGACCCAATAATTAAGCTTCTGAAAATTGTGTGTAAAATAAGAGCCACTTGATTCTAAGTGACTAAATTATATAGACTTTGTAACATAGGTTTTAGAATGCTTCTTTTTAGCTGTTCAGAGATTTTGCTGACTTCAGGATTCCTCCTCTATTGTACATGTTGAGGTTGCTGAAAGTTTGACCGTCTGAGAAGTGTTGGGTATGAAGAGGGCGCTGGATTGGACTGAGGAAGACCTAGGCTCATTTCTGACTACAGACACATGCTAGCTGTATGACTCTGGACAAATCACTTAACCTCTCTGAGACTCACTGATCAGCAAAATTGGCCTGGGAACACTGTGGGTACAGTACTGGTTCTACAGTGTGTCTCTCATAGGATTATTAAGAGGATCAAATGAAGTCATGTATTTGGAGTGCTATGTAAATGTCAGTTATTACTTATAATTATGCAGGAAATCCACCATCACTAAATTTCTTCATAGGGTGATTTCCTTATGATTCTGTGGGACATAAACATTTCTAAGGTCTGCTAATCAATCCCCTTTGGCAAACTTGTACAGGTCAGCTGAAAGTGGCCCTGTTAACCAGTTTTCTGTTCAATTTAAATATTTGCAGGTGGGGATGCGGGGAGGGGGGAAGATAAGGGAAAATGGTACTTTCTCAAATTATTTTAAGGAAATTAAGGAAGTATTGAAAAGAGTAAAGGGGAAAATATTACAGCAAATTTTAGAAATTCCTACTTAACTTGACTCACTTATTCCTAGAAGAATTCTGTATTCCCTGTTGAATGTTATGTTGCTTGACAGTGCCTTTAGAGATTTCCAGTATGGAAAGTTTTTAGTCCTTAATTGCTTGTTGTTTCAGATCCTTGCCTCCATTGAACTTCTGGCCCGCTCATTGCCAAAAATTCACCGCAGTGCATCTGAACCCTCACTGAATCGGGCTGGCTTCCAAACGGAGGATTTTAGTCTGTATGCTTGTGCTTCTCCAAAAACGCCCATCCAGGCAGGGGGATATGGTGCGTTTCCTGTTCACTGAAAAAAATTGAGTGGGAAAGGGAGGTGTACAGGGCAGGACACATAAAAGTAAGATGAACTTAACATAGTTTTGAGTTTGTTGAACTCAGTGGAATTTTTTTTAAAAATGCGCCACCAAAGAACAGATTCATTTTTTTTAAAGAATGAGAATCAGTTTCCTGGTGAAAAATCATTGCTAGCATTGGATTTGTCAATGTGAAAAACATTTTTAACACACATAGGAACTTAACAAAGATTGTGATAAAATAACCTAATAATGTATATCCAATTTTCCAGACTTTATTTTGTCCTGAGTTTGTTTAGTTTACAAATTTGCTCAATCTGAATGTTGTTTTTGTATAGTGAATATTTCTCATATAGCTTTTGTTAGCCATACATGATGTCCATTATGGACTAAAGTTAATAGTACATCTGCTTGTTTGAAACTGAAAGATGGAATCATGGTTACCTTCTTGTAATTGAACCAAACTGAGTTCATGCAAATTGGGAAGACACTGGAATTGAATAGTCTTATTTTTATACTCCAAATTAAATTTCTATAAAAGTTTCTTTTTATTATGACATGGAAAGCTCTGGATTGCCTTTACTTCCCTAAGCAGTAGACTTAACTGCTTTCTACAGATAATAGGGATGGTAAGCAAAGTCATCGACCAAAGGCGTTCCTGTAATGTATGTACAGAGGGATATTGACAAATATATTGGGAAATGAAATTTTCTATTTTATAAGTAAAATGTTTTAATTTTGGTTTTCCATGGAAGATATGTTAATATACATGGGGGGCAGGAGGGAAGGGTAGTATGAGCCAGGAAGAGGACGCACAGGAGACCTGTCTCTTTTTTTGATGAAATATATTTGTTTATATTATTGAATTTCTTTGTATAGAGAGGAAGTCTTTGCTTATATGAAGTTCACCTCAGTTGCAAATTCACCTCAAAAGAAACCCTCACAGATTACGTGAGGACTTTTAGAATTTTTTTTCCTTAGAATTTTTTTAAAAGAAATTACAGATACTTTATTTTTTCAAATTACATTTAACCTCTAGTGACACATCTTTCAAAAATGACCTTGTCATTGTGTCCAGTGTAATTTCTTTCCTTGTTCATCTATCTTCTCATAACCTTTGCAGGAGTTTTAAAATAAATTCTTTACCCCAAAAGAATCCTCTTGCCATGAGGGCTATTCTATTTATGATGTTCCAGGGAGAGGAGTAAAGTGTGGTGATGATGTTCCTTTTCTAATATGGAAAATGTCTTTGATTTTTACTGTAATTCAGAGGGAATTAAAGGTGGAAAAGACAGTCCTGAGAGTCTTATCGAAATA